AAGGTAAGAAATAAAAATGACATTTTTCCGGGCATATTTATAGAGGGATAGATAGCTCTTTAGTGGTTGACTTTAGGCCTAAAGTTTATACAACAAACTACCCTTTAGTTTGACAAAGTATCACCACCTTCAGTTTTTCGCATTTCTTTTGACACACCTTGTATGTTTCCTCTAATGATTTATTAGTTTATAATTAATTACAGATTACACATTTCTTCACAAAATTCTTTTATTTCTTTCTTGCAAGATTTTTAAATTTTATTCTCTTATTTCCAAAAAACTTGGGATGTCAAAATACTACTATAAAGAGTGTGTATTCGTATATTCGTGTGTATAGAGGTTAGGTCGGATAATTCATCTGTTTGACGTTAGATGGCGTTACTAATCTACAGACACGATGTCATAGAAAGACCTTTTCCATAAAGTGAACCTGACTGACCTCATGGGGGCCGAAGTATCTGTTGGCACATATTCCAGCATATGCCAGCGGAAGTTCGAGCGATTGAAATCTGTCTAAGGATGCTGGTAAGGAAGCAACTTGTGCAACGCTGCCCATCCAAGCATATAGCAAACTGCAAAGAGGCTAGGGTGCCGTAATAATTTAACACTGCTTTGGAGCATAGTGGAAACGTTTTTTATACTATGATAACCACAGCTTCAGAGGTTAAGAAGTTGGACAACATAAGCTGTTAACAGTAACACGTCCACTTGCACCTTTACACTTATTAAGTATTAATTTCTTACGTATGTAGACCTAAATTTTATTTAAATCAATTATGTAAATAGTACAGTATGGTCTTTTTTTTCTAGGAGTCTGTTTTTATAACCTGTAAATAAAATTAACAAAAATGTTGCCGATGTCACAAAAGCCATCACGCACAGAACCACAGTCGATACTTAGGTAAGGTTGTTGTGATGGGAGCACTGTTCTTTTTTGTAGTCTATGACAAGTCGGTTAATGAAAGTTAAGGGAAAAGCACGTGTTGTATAATTAAAAGTTTCCTTCTCATAAGTAAATAGAGCAAATAGATAAACATGTTGTCTAATAAAACTAATCCTCCTAGCCATACACTGTAACAAATAATTCTTTAAATTAGATGAAATATTCAAGCCAGCACCAAAGTGTTCACACTACGCCTTTTAAAAATGCCGCCATCTGTCACTCGTCAACTACAACGACAACAACAACAAGTAGGGACGACAAATCAAGTCCTTGAACGTAACTTGTGATTTAGCCGCTCGTTAAAATAGTAAAAGTTACTAGCCACGACTGCCGGGCTCATTAGGCTATAAACTTTCGCTAGTTTGTAAAATGTATACGATTGGCCTGTAAACTAATACATAACGGCTACCGTGAAATCGTTGAATTATCCTTAAAGTTCGATAAGGAACTCAGGATTTTATTTCGCTGCCCTGTACAAAAACGGGATCATGCGCAAGCGTGACAGAATAAAAGAGCGCGGCGGAAAAAAAAACAGAAACCAAACGAATGGCGACTTACCTCGAAACGAAAAAATTTGCAAAACGATTTGCTCGCGCACTTAGAGGTAACTTAAAACTGCAACGAAATAACGAATTAGTAAAAAATCAAAACACAAGTGTGGGCGGGGACGAACGCCAGTGACACACAAACGAGAGAGAAACACGAAAAGGTGTACAATAAAACCAAAACGTACTAATTCGACCCAACTTTATTAATTAGAAGAATAATATGACATGCGTCATGCACATATATATACTGGGAGCGAAATATTGTCGAAAAACATCCGCTTTAAAATAAAATAAATGTATAGATATATATACAGTACCTTGCATAGAAGGATTAAGCTAGGTGCCACAAACAAGGTCAGCAGACACCTGCAGTATTTGCTCTACCCACTTGCAGGTAGGGCAAATACTACAGTTACCATTACATTACAATTACCATAATTTTGTATTTTATGTTTGTGCAACAAAATTCGAGGCCAATGGGATGCTAGAAATTCAACTAGAAATTCAACTATAAGCGATCAAAAGAAAACGAACCTGTAGCCAGAGTTCTAAAACGTGGTTGGTTTAGATCAGATATTGTTAGAGATTACTTCAAGGCACACGCTGAAAACCAGAACCTACCAGCTGCTGGAGTCCTGGTTAAAGTGGCCCCCAAAGGAACTGTGACCACGTATTGTTCATTCGGCATTTATGAAAATTCAAAATAGCTGGACCAATTCTTTTGGTCTACAGTACACCATCATAGAAGAAGCACGTATAACTTATAAACTGCACCAACAAGTCAGTCGACAAATGTTTTGAATCTCATCGGCAAAAAAGTATTGCGGTTTTGGGGAAATAACTCAGACAGGAGAATAACCAAATCAAGATTGAACTTAATATTCACCAAGGTTTGGTCTAGACGTATAACCATATAGAGATATAGAGGCCCGCATATGCTGATAATACAACAACTTATGAAGGAACTATGAAAAAAATTTAAAATATTCCTTTTTAACCAGTGCGGCATTCAAGAACCAACATAGCCGCTGATAGATCGTCGTAAGTTTGGATGCCACATTTGTACGGCAGTATTTTCTCATGTCTATGCCTCGACCTCGTTAAATATTCAGGCAAAAATGAGTTAAGGTGTGGATATCGCTGTCGCAAAAGGAAAGATCTACGAAACTATCATTGCCCCTTGAGACGCATCAATTTTTAACGTAGCAACTATATCATCTAATGTATGAAAATATTGTGAATGGATTATATCCATAGGATAAATCAGCTATTCTGGAGTGAAAGGCATCGAAGCAATCGACGCAGAATATAGCAGTGAAGACGACCTTCTATTGCTAACACAAAGAAGCGCTTAAATAAAGAACACAATAAAAATAATCCGTTAAACACTAGTTTTGAATTGATGTCAACGCCCGACATGTTAAAACAAATACTGGAAGGGCCAATAGCACCAAACAACAAATCATTTAATTACAAAGCTCAAGTAGTTACCAAAATATGGTGAATCTACAGCAAAAGGAAGAAACGTTTCATTAAAAATGTACAGGGAGCTGTCCCAACAAGATATAAGACAATGCGTTGGGCGTCAGTAATAGGCCCATGATAAATGAGGCTATACTGCCTCAGACAATGAGGAATATATTTGCAGAGCCTGTCAGTGTTATACCACATGCATGTTTTTGCATAGCATAAAAATAATTTACTTCATATTATTTTATGAAAAATTTGTTAATTTCATTTCTTTTTTGAGAAATAAAAATTATTTATCCGTAACCAGGCCTTATTTGTCGCACTTACCTTATACAGGGTGAAATTGAATCGCGAGGTGACGATACATTTACATTTTCGCGTCACCCAGTTTTTTTTTTTTTTTGCTTAAACGTCGAGGTGGCGCGACTTGTCGGTCTGACGCACGTTTTGTTCCGACTCCATTGCACTTCAACCGTAGCTCATGCAACAACTCCATGCATTTTGGGAACGCTATCGATCGGCATTTCACAGAAAACCTTCATAACATGATAACTAATAACAGGGATTTTTTTGCTGCTGTTTGTTATTAACGGGTTATAACCTAATTGTTCTGACGTTCTTTTTTATTGGAAAATTGAAAAAAAAATGTTTGATGACTTTTTAGGATGCAGAGAAGAACGCTCTGTAGAACCTTAAGAAAGAAATAATGCTTACGTCATTTCTTTTGCATGTTGTCAAAGGCCACCCAGGTAATTGTTTATATCCCGGTAGTTCACTTGGCGCATCAACTTGAAAGGCATATTCGATTCAAACAATGGCGACGGCGTTTTCATTTTATGCTTAAATTTTGCTGTATTCTTTCTTTTCGTAAACAGGTTTACACAAAGGTAAGTGTGCCTTTTTGGCTTGAAGAGACCTTGCTCAAGAGAGCCATGTCACACATGTGTTCAAGAGTAAGACAACAGTAAGACAGTGTCTCACAGTCTGGCAACTTATGTTTCATAAGTGTTTATAAAGCTAACAATAATTTTGTTTTACAAATCACAAGACGGAATCAAAGAAAAGAAAAATTCTCAATTTTTCCCAAGATTCTACAAGCTCTGGTCTTGCAATAAGAAAACAAGCGGCTTCAGACAATGGGTAGATAAGCAAGAAATGTTAAAGAACACGATAGAATGTCTCATGTGCAATGTAAATAAAATATTCAGTGAAACGTAAACATGGCAGGGATAAAATGGTTTCGAGATTTTCGCAATCGACTAAGGAACGTTCAGTACGAACCACAGAGGAATGTAGCTTATCTCGTAAGCACAATGTTTCGGTTTTTTAAGAACATATAATCGCAATGAAACTACAACTATGACTGTTCGAAAGCCACAAGTAAAAAAGGTAAGGAGTGCAAAGCGGAATACCCTGGTAACAACATGTTGCAATAAATTAAGAACACACAGAGAATATATGATTTAAGCAGCTCCACCACATTAGGGTTAGTTGCACCTGAATACAGATTTCTAAAGAAAATCCGAGTCTTCAAATTTATGATAACCATGAAAACCATCTTAACCTAGCTGTCCTTACCGTGGCAAAAAATAATGCGGAGACTTTTCCTTCGCACTCTACCAATAGAATGCAACCACTTGACGTGAGTTATTTGAAACTGAAACTATTTTGAAATGAGTCTAGCCGTTTGACAGAAACTCACTTAATAACGTAATAATCGTAAGTGCATTGAAAATAACACACCAACAGCAATAAATTTGCTCGATGCTATTGAAATGGTTTCGAGTGCGTGACTACAACTTATTACCATACATAATTTTGTTGATAGTGATCTTGCAACGACAAATATGCCTACAGAAGAGGCAACTGTTGCGCAAATTGGTCAAACAGTGATTGAAACTGACGAAGAAAATTATGAAGAGCCGCCAGAAGAAACATCCCCAATTTTTGATGATGCTATAACAAGGATAAACAAACGATTTTTGGAAGGCATAAGCAGTATTTTGAGGGTATAACAGAGTTTTTTACAAAGTAGACACCATTTAATTCACATTTCTAATATCTAAGTATAATTTGTTTTTTCATGCCAGTCCAAACCTCCATCTATAAAAAAATAAATTGTAATATAAGTATTATTCTGTTTTTCCTGTCACGAGCAATTCATTTTTATTGATATTCCACGTTGTTTCATCGCTCACCAGAAAGAAAAAAAAACAAAAACTTACTTTTTTTAACTAAAAAGTTATTTTAGTATTTAAGAAGGGATTTCAACCCTTTTCTTCCTCATATCGTATCTTTATATATATTATTTTTAAAAGAAATTAAAATTGAAGCGTTTTTTGAAAAATTAACAATTTCTCTAAATAATAAATATTCTCATATTTAACCCACCCCTGTGGAACTTGAGTTCTTAAAAATCCCTTCTTATAGAACCTCTATAGCCTAAAATCCTGCTTTATACCAAAATTCAGCTTTTTTGCTTCAAGCGGTTTTAGCAGGGTCGTGAGTAATCCGTGAAACAAGTTTTTGACACACCCTGTAAAAATGCTTAAAAAATCTTAAAATGTAAAAAAATAAATATAGACGTTACCTGAATACATCTTGTTTGAAAAAAAAAAAGATTTCAATTAATTGTTTGGATGTAGGTTTCATTATTATTATTTTCATTTTTTTTTAATAAACATTTTCTCAGTGTAGAATTCAATACACTTTTCTTAGAGTACATTGGAGGACTACTTCAAACGGGACGTCCCTTTTTCAACAGTGACGATCAAGACTGCCCATACATTTAATGTAATGATTTATAGTCCCGCTAAAAACCAAATGAAATGTGGGTGCAGTGCATGAATTGCCGAAAATGGTCGCACTGTTCATTATGTTCTTGTTATATCTTATTTTATTAATACTATGTTTATTTTGCGATTTATAACATTAGTAATTATTACTTGTTAGTTTTTGAAATACATTTCCTTTTTTAATTAAACAAAGCAGTGTGTCATTTCGTACGTATTTCACCTACGTTTTCGTTTTAAATATATGTTCAATTGTCTTAAATAATGAATAATAAAAAAGGAAATATAAAATGTGTTTTCATTTCTTTTTGGCGAACTTTTGATACTTTCAAAATGACAATGCCAATGAAAATAATGAAACCAACATTTCTTGTTCAAATACGGCATCAGCGGTATCAAACTGTGATAAAAATGATAGCTTCTCTGAAAATGCTGTTGCTGCTCAAAAAAATTAATTAGAAAAAGAAGACAAAATTCAAGAAAGGGATTGTAAATTGTCCCGAATAATTTAAGAGGTTTTTCAAAAGCAACTTGAAGACGTAAGGTACGCCTTAAAAGGATGCAAAACAAGAAAGTAAGGGTAAAAAACATTAAAAAGAAAAAGAAAATCAAGAGACATGACAAATGAAAAACCAATGTTCCAGATTCAGATGGACTTGACAGCTGATGGATATTGTGCCTGTTGAATTTATGAGAAAATCAGAAAAGGACAAAACTAGGACATAGGACAAATTCTAAAACAAAAAGATTCGTATTACGAATTTGAAATCACTTGCCCCAGGGACCAAAAGAATTCGTGGGTTTATTATCTATTATTAAATTTGAAATTGGTTTTAGTTTGTTAAATATTGAATGAATCAAGTATTTTCAAATTCCCCTTAAGTTTTCTATTGCACTTGCATACCCAACATAACAAATATACTTACGAACATACAAATCGGCCCACTGTAACCTTTCGACTTTAACTACTACTACTAAAAAAGAAACATACTGTTTAAAAGATAATGCTTAATATGGACTTAAATTTGTCAAGAGTAATGATCTTTTATATGCGTAGCAATCGGCAATCAAATGAAATATGCTTATGCGGTAGCTATAACGAGAGCAACAAAGTTGTCAAATACTAAAATTAATTGCCTTTGCAACCGAAATTTTGACATTATTTGTTTTTAATAATTTGGTTAGTGTTTAAGTGTATTAGTTGGATGAAAACAACACCAGTGACAGTGACAAGAAGACTGCTCAACGCTTTGCACGAGATCATCTGAATTCGACATTGGAACAATGGGGTTCTGCTCTTGAGATGAGACTAGAATATGCCTCTGTGGTAGCGACCGACGAAAAAAAGTATACGGAAGACCAGGAGCATGTAGTCCCGACCTCAATCTGATCGAACATTTAACCTCGATCCCAGAAGCTTATCGTTGCAGAAGAGGAAGAGTGGTTTAAGATTTCGCAAGAAACAATATGGAACTTGATTAGATTACGTGTAAGAGATATTATTAGGGCAAGAGGAGGTCATACCCAATATTAAAAAATAAGTTTTAAGGTGGTAATTGTCACAGTTATTTCTTTTAGTAATAAAAAATAATTAATTTGTCTCATGCAGTTATTTCACTTCGAGAAACCTAAGAATCCGGAACAAATTTTAATCAATTTAAACTTGTGTTCAATCCTACTAAATCGTGTTTTAAACTGTTTTTTTATCTGCGGAACGATTTCTAAAAAAAATGTAGTTAAAGTCAAAACGTTACAGTGAGCCGATTTCTATGCAGGCAAGTGTATTTTTCTATGATCAAAATTGTACCTTTTTTCTCACTGTACAACACGCGGGTCACTTGAAAAGTTTACGACCTCACCCTGAAGATGGCGGCGCTAGTTACTAACAGCTAGCGATCTTAGTTCTGCGCCTCTTTATAGCTGACCTAAGTTTGAGCCATATAGAGCTGTTATAAAATATTTGTTTTTGAAAAGCAATACACACACACATATTAAAATTTAATCAGACTCTGTGAATGGAGACTCTACACTGTCATTTACCACAGTGAAATTTTGGGCAGCTGAATGTAAACGTGGCCGTAAGAGCTTACGAGATAATGAACGCTCGCGACGCCCAAAAACTGTTAATAGTTCATCAAATAGTGCTAAATGTCCGAAGAACGTGTTTGTAACATCTTAAATCAAGATTGAGGCATGAGAAAGCTGTCCACATGTTGGGTGCCACGTTTACTTACATTAGACCCAAAACATGTCCGAAAGAACGTTTCCAACGCGCCGATTAATTACTGGAGATGGAACTTGGATACAATAGTATACGCCCGAATCAAAAATACATTAACAATAATGGACTGCGAAGGGGGAACCGACTATGGAAAAAGCAAAATCTGGCAGGGAAAGTGGTGCCGACTATTTTTTCTATGCATCATTACTTGACAAGCTGAAACTGAAAACTGAAAAACTACTAACCAGATCTAGCCCCAAGTGACTTCTTTTGGATCCCGCATCTGAAAACTGCGCTCGGAGGACAAAGTTTTTCGTCAAATGAGGAGGCAAGAATCTTCGTGAACAATTATTTTGCGGAGAAAAACGCTGGGTACTTTGAATGGGTTAGAGGAATGGGAGCATCGCTGGGAGACGTGTATAGAGGCTATATAGAAAAATAAATTGAGAAAATATGTATCATTGTTAGGTCGGACACGTTTCGAATGACCCTCGTAAATGATGCCTTCCTGTAGAGCACACAAGACAAACACCGGGACATTCGACACCATATCAGATTTTTCGAAAGTACATAATTAAAAATACAAATAAAACGTGTCTCACTGACGAGCGCTTTCTCCTGCGCAAGTTGCTTCTCCATTATTTTGCGAGTTGGATATTAATTTCCTAGCCAAAACATCGCGTGTAAACACAAAATATAAATTTGTAGGTTATAATTTTGCCCCATTTTTATGACTCCTGATTCCTGAGTCTCACTTACATTATCTGGCCGAGCGGATCGAATGCGTTCCCAAAAAAAAAAAAGACAAAAAACGCCAAACGAAAACCGAAACGAACGAGAAAAAAAATTACCTAAAGAAATATCGAAACGCACGCAACAAAACCCTACATAACATCGACAAACATCTCGCACGGGTTGCCCATCGCTATCTTAAACGACTGTCTACTACCGGCAATGTCTTTGCTGTTGCCTCCCTGGCCGACGGCCACCTGGGTGCCGCTACTCCGTTCCGAGCCGTTGCTCGAGCCGTTCCCGTTGCCGGTGGGACCGCCCCCGTGCAGATGACGCGGTCCCAACGACGTCAAGTCGCTGTCCGACGCGCTGCTGTGCGCGCCCGCCCCCTCCTTGAGCGGATCGGATCCGTTCGAGCTGCCACCTGTCGGGAAAATAACGGGTTTCTATGCAATCGACCACAATCATCGGCGATTTTCTTCCGGGGAAAAAATAATAATAAAAATAAAACCAAGGGGACGTTTATTGAGGACGAAATTACAACAAAAAAAACAGAATTGAAAAACTAAAATTCCGTTTATTTACAAACAAAACTTAAGGGTGACAAACTGCGAACGCGCGACAACTATCCGGCTATAAAAGTCGAACGGATGTGAGGTAAAACGAGTGTTGCGAAAATGGCACCAAAGGAGGAAAACAAAAAACGAAGAGCCGGATACTTGCGTGACACTAAAACTAAAGGATGAGTATTCGAAAATTACGAAACGAAAGCGCTAAAACACCACCAAAAACAAACTATAGGTTTTAAGTTAATTAGGCAAATTGTTGAGGAATATGTCACAATTTCTGAAAACAAGCAATAATTTCTTAAAAATAAGAATTTCTGAAAAAGAGGTCAGAATTTCTAAAGAAAAGTCAGGATATCTCTGACAATGTTTCGGAAGTACAAGGCGGTCAATATTTTAATCTTATTTAGAATTTTTTCAGTAACTGAGAAGGATTTTATACACAGTATAATAATAAAAATTGACTATATTAGTTTCTTTTAAGAAGACAATTAACGAATTTGAGACGTTTGAAATTTGGAAATCGCTCCGTCTAACTCAATCGTTTTCCTAACCTATTTGCATTTAAAAAGTTCAAGGTATTTCTTTTCAATTTTGGTAATAGTAATAAAAATAACCTTCAAATCAAATGTTGGAATTTGAAACTTATGTCACTGACTTACTTTTGCATAATTAAACCAAAACCTATATTTTATATTTATTGCCGGCTTTCAGCGCTTTCGTAGAAAACTGTACAGGCGCAAAGTAAATAAAACAATAGAAATGGCGAAGCCGCTACTACATTTTGGTTAGTGTCTTTTTAAAATTTATTCCAAACTGTTCCTTTTCCCTCACTGATTAGCAACTGCGCCTAGAGTCCGAAGGTAGTAAGTTACACACGCGCTCAGGCTCCGCCTCCCTGAACAGATATCTATAATGGCTTTTATTGGATTACAAAAAAAACCATTGGCGTTACAAGTTTTGAGAGATGTGCAATAAATACCAAAACACTTTAAGTTTTATAATACTTTATAAACTATTTGTGTTGGTTACTTCACGTTTTTTTGAAGGTTTTATATTTCGTTCTAAAAAATCCTTTTTACAAAACTTTCACTGTAGCACCTAATAAATATTCTACATCTACTATGAAATGTAAAGAATATTAGATTATAAGCCTAGTAACAAACGTTTCCATATATTTTTGAAGTTATGATGTTTAAAGACGTCACAAGAAAAAATAGCAAAAAATTAAACATAGCAACAGCTTTTATAGAAAAGTCAAACTAGACTTTTTTTTCCAAACTTTTGTGGTTTTGAAAATTGAGGCTACGATTTGACAATCAATATTGAAATTTGGTTACTAATAGTTTTCAATTGGTTTTTGAGTTACAGTAAGTTTCACACAATATGCAGAGTGTCTGCGGCATCCTATTGTTTTTACTGTTGATATACAGGGTGTGAATGTAAGACAACGAATAATTTTCATTTTTTCGCTTAGAATTAGGAAATTTCTTTTTAACTTAAAATCGGTATTAAACAGTGATAGACGCCGTTTGAATCGCAACGGGTAAATATTCGTAATGATGAAGCCAGAGGTGTGCAAAAAAGGGGTGTACGAAGTTGGAAAAAAAAATAAAAATTTTTATTTGAAACCTATACCGATTTTGTTGCTGCTTAAAATTGTATTGAGTTTTTTTTATCCCTATAAAAAAAAGTAAAATTAAAAAGGAAAAACAGTTTATCTATTTTGTAGTTCAGTGATCTCTCCTAAATGGCAAACATTAAAATCTTAATATATAAGAAACAGGGCGACTAAATTAAAAATGGCGCTCGGGCCTGGCGAAACGGACGCCGATGACGTAACCGCGTTACCGCTTTCGGACTCTACCCGTTACGCTTGTATTCGCACCAGTAAAAAAGAAAATTCTCAAAAGAGTCTTCTACGCACTCCGGTTTCGTTTACGAGGATTGTATGAGCAGGACATCTGAAACAAACCGAGTTATCCATTCTGATTTCGGCTCCGTACTTCGTTCTACATACCTAAGTTTCTACTTTTACGACTAGTTTTACTCCGCACTCACCGCCATTTATTTACTTATTTTATTTTTTATTTATTTATTGGTGGCTCGTTTTCTACTTCCGCCGGTTAATTATATTAGAACGACCGCACGAGAAACGAAAACAAACGAAAAAACTCCGAAAAGAAGAGACAAAAATGAACGAAGGACTTACCGCTCCCGCTAAGCACTGACTCCTCCTTGTTGTAACCGTAAACCGTGTTCTCGCTGTAGAACGGCATCGGCATGTACTCGAGAGGGTTGTAGGTACCGCTGTACGGCATATAATTCGGCACGTTAGGCAACGGTCCCACGCTGTCCGTGTCGCCCTGCAGCTTCAAGTTGGTCATGGCCGAGCACAGGTCGCCGAAGATGTAGTAGCACTGCAATAAGCAAAATGGAGCCGTAAGGGCTAAAAGTCGACCTACCCCACCGGATCTTTTTTAAATCCCTTAAAATTTGTACAAATTGGGACTTTTCAAAGAAACTTCCACAGAGGGGCGGACTTAAAGGAGGGGCATGAACATTGTCTCGGATGACTGATTCCCATATTGGTGAAAGGTAAAGACCTTAGTCGCGGTTAAGATTGTATGGATGCTTATGCATGTCTATAGATTCTCAGATTTTTCGTTGGTAGAAGAATTGATTACATGCAAGAATTTTAGTTTTATCGAATAAAATTTTATATCCGATTTCGCGATTGTTTCCAGCAACTGCTGATGAGTTTATTTGTCTTAGTCTTAAGACTCTTGCATGTTCTTTGGGCCTAGTTGATATTTTTCGTCCGGTCTATCCAATGTATTCTTCGCCGCTCATGCAAGGAATGCCATAAACTCCTGGCATCTCAAATTGAATGTTGTCTTTGACGGATCGAAGATGTTGAAAGATTTTTGAACAAGAGGTAAATCGTTTGGACGTTGTATTTCTTTAGAACTTTTGATATGTGGTCAGTGATGTTTTGAATATATAAGCAAGGACAACAGTGGCAAGTGTGGGATTGCTTTCGGCTTCATTGCTATTGGAAGGTTGTGGTGAGGTGTATTTTTTGATGGAACGTTTAATATCTTTAATTTGGAAATTATTAGAGAGAAGAGCAGAGGTAAGGTATTTTAATTCTGTTTTCAGTGACTCGGGTTGAGATAGTTTTACGGCTCTGTAAACAATAGAATTGATAACCGATGATTTTTGAGCCGGAAGTGTGCGAAGGTTTTCTGTAAACACAATAACCCAATATTAGGTCTGATTTTCTATTGATAAGAATATCTAAGAATGGGAGGTTGTTATTAGTTTCTATTTCAGTAGTAAAACGTATGTTACGGTGTATAGAGTTTAAATGTCTAAGAAAATCTACTATGGCCTCATGGTCAGGAATTTCTAGTAGATTTTCTTAGACATTTAAACTCTATACACCCTAACATACGTTTTACCATTGAAATAGAAACTAATAACAACCTCCCATTCTTAAATATTCTTATCAATAGAAAATCAGACCTAATATTGGGTAATTGTGTTTACAGAAAACCTATGCACACGATTTCTATGGGTTTTTGGGAATTTGCTTTTTTATTCTACAATTGAGATTCGTCCAATGCCTCTTTCATTATGTATTCTTCCTAGATGCTGAAGAGGCCTGGTCACATCGTTGTCGTTCAGACTTCTTATGAGTGCACGTAGGTGTTCAGGCACGCCCATCTCTCGAAGTACTCTCCACAGCATTCTCCAGTTAACACAGCCAAATACCTTTTGGTAATCCAAGACGCAGATGACAATTGGAATATTAAATTCTCTGCATTTATCTACGAGTTGTCTTATATGATAGATCCCTCTAATCGCCGCTTAATAATGCGAAGTAGAATCTTATTTAGATGCGATATTAAACAAATGGAGATTTTCTTCTTCGACCTCTACATGGATAATGCCTGGTTAGTGCACTATTTCATTTATGTTGTGAATTCTGTACTCTCCGTCAAGAGTTGTTGTTTCTTGAACAGTTCTGCGCAATATTTTTGCCACACGTTCAATATTTCTTCCGTGCCCCCAACAATAGTGCCCTGCTACTCCATTTACTGATACAAATACCCGTACAATTATTTTAATTGTCTGTATTTTAATATGTTTGATGTTGATATGTTGACATTGGTTATTTTTTTTAGTAACAATATCTTAGGCTCTAATTGATTTTTTGATAAGCTAATGAAGGGGAATGAACATTGGCTCAGATGACTAATTCCTATATAGATGAAAGGTAAAGACTTGAGTCGTCGTAAAAATTGTTTGGTTGCTTATAGATTTCTATGAATTCTCAGATTTTTGTTTAGTAGAAGAATGGATTACATCAAAAATTTTACTTTTATCGAATGAGATCTGCTAATGAGAATTTATTTGTCGTGGTTTTAAGGCTCTCTCATGTTCTTTGAAAATAGTTGGTATTTTTCGTCCTGTTCCTCGAATGAATTCTTTTCCGCATTTGCAAGGAATTTTCTTGGTAACCCAAACGGAATATTGTCTTCATTGAAAGCATGGCAACATGATAATTCCGGTTAGCCTCGCCCAAAATAAGAACTGCTTTGATATGTTCTTCTAACAATCGCGTCATTTAAATTATGTAATATTTTTGGAAATTTTTCGCCCCATAGCGATAGGTGATCTAAATTGGATTGGAGTTTTATACAGTCATCAGCATTTTGGACTCTCATATAGAATTAGAGTCCCAGGTGTGATCATTGCGGAATTAATTTCGGTGGATTGGAAGCCCTGCAATCTGCACTCTTTCAGGAAGGTAGGATGTTAACCATTCCAAAAGTTTTCCGGGGATTCCAATGTTTCGATTAAGATTTGATGATTTACTAGATCAAACGCCTTTGCAAAGTCTGTGTAAATGGGATGAACGTGAGACCCCTCCTCCAATGATTCCAGCAGAAAATCTGTACATATAAGAAAGTTTAGCTCAGTGGAGTGATGCGGCCGATAAAGCAACCTTTCAGGCCAGCAGATAAATAGTCGCAGACCAAACATTTGAACACTTTAGGAATACAGCTCAGGATTTTAGGATAGGATTAATGAAGCTTGATTTCCAGTAAGTTGGAAAAGTTCCCGTTTTTAAAGATTGGTAAAATCTAATATAAAGGGGTCTAGAAAGTATGAAGCTGCGATGTTAATAAAATATAATAAAATATCTTTTGTTTTTATCTAGAGTCGACAGTTTCTCGTAAACAGATGAAATCGAAATGTTCAAGTGTGAGAGGCAGACATCTCCAGAGGGCAGTGCATCTTCAGAGACACAGTCCCCTCCCCATCAATATACATGTTCGAAAAATAGTCTGCAAATAAATTGACAATATCCTCACACACAGAACAGGTCACGTCGCCAAAGTGCACAACCGATGGAATAAAGTTTATTTTCTTTTTACAGTTAACGAACTTCCAAAAATTCTTAACGTTTTACGTTTAACATTTTCTCTTAAGGAAGATTCAGTCAAAGATATATATTCCTGGTAACACTGCATTTTTAAAAATTTACATTTAGCTCTTAAGTCTGAAAATCTCTTATAGTCTGTATATAACCCAGTCCCAAGATATCGTTTATGTGATTTCTTTTTCTCAATTATTGCATCTTTAAGCTCTGGAGAAAACCAAACTGGAAACTTCTTTAATGGAACGTAAATATCGATAGCTAAATAAACTATATCGTAGAACACGTTGACCAAGTCCTCAAGGGTTTTGCTAGCAAATAACTTGTCCCATTCGAACTGCGACCAAAACTTAGTCACTGCACTCAAGTTCGTTGATTTAAAATCTTTATAAAGGCCGTTACCCCTTAGACCAGAACTGTTGAAAGGTACTGAATCACATTGCAAGGAAAAGGAGAGTGGTGGGTGATAAAAGTCTATTGGCAGCAGGCACAATCCGCCTCAACCATTAAAATTCCACCATTCTGTGCAAACACTAGGTCCGGAAGGTTGTCGTTAACGTTCCTGAGTGTGTTTATCTGGAAGAGGTTGTGGTAAGATCATAGGTAAGATAGTAGATTAGTGGATTCGATGTCGCTCTGCGTGCTTTCCGCCAGAGGGATTGCAACTGAGGATAATTCTTCCTTGGTCCACCAACTGTTGGGTTGAAATCGCCTAGGACGCACAACTTATGACTGGGGTATTCTTCAACCAGTCTTTCCAGGTTCTCTCTAAATTCTGCATATTTCTCAAAGGAACACTTCGGTGGCAAGTAGGCTGTAGCCAGTATAAATTTGTTGCTATTCAGATTAATTTGAATAAATAAATGTTTAAATAAAAACTTTATTTGAAATAGTTTTACAGACCGCTATTAGAACACTATCTCCCCTATCAAAGGTACTAGTTTCTGCAGATCTATCCTTAAGGTATATATAGTAGTTAAACATCTGTAGTTCTGCACTGTCATATTGGGAGTAAGACACATTTTCAAAGAGAAGCTGAAGCTTGGTCCACAGTCCTGTAACAATTTGGAAGTATATAAGTAAGGACGAGGGGTCCGTCAATCTGGGATGAGAAGGCCTGTCTAGTTTTTTGCAATGAATTTGGGAACTCCGTTTACATATTTTAGAAAGAGATTAGGTTCTCCACTTCGCTGTCTTGCCTTCAATTACTTCTTGAGTGTGCTCACTTCCGAGCGGCTTTTGTCCATATTTTTCTTACTCCTCTCTCTGTGAACTATTTCAGCTGAGTCTAGAGTCAGGCGCAATGACTAGTAACCGTTTTTATTATGCTTTTCTATTCTCACTGCACTAGCAACATTAAGCGAGTAAGATCTGACAGTATGATTTTTGCTGTAGACAAATCGTCTTCTTCTTTAAGTTCTAGAACGTTAAAGGGCATCAAGTTACGCCATCCCTTTTGCCTCTCAGACACCTCATGCAAAACCTTGCCATGGAGACCCACTGTATTGGGTTCCTGTCTGCTTGTTCACTTGTTTTCGCTGACGTCGCAGAAGTGGTCTGTTTAATAACAGCTAGATCAATTTTTATGTAGTTGAAACTGCTCGTAAAAGTAGCTTCATTGGTCCATATTATTCGAGACAAAACATAATGACCCTTATCTAGCATAAAATTTAGCCGACTACCAATCCAATCTCCTATCAAAATCGTAAAAATGTAATTCAATATGATACTGGTATAGCTTATATTGAGATTTATGTGGGCAGAGGCAAGAATATTAATATATTAATGACGTTTTCTTCGTCTTTAAGGCGTCGATTTCTTCTAGGCACTGGATTAGGATGAACTCGTCCTGTTTCGAGCAAACATTTACTTTAACGATTAAACATCTTTCTAAAATGTCTTCTATAAGGATAGTTAGCTGCGTATATAAGATATTTTTAATCCAATAAGTACAATCAGAGTAAGAAAATTTAAAGTAACTTTAGCTATTTAAAAGGGTAGAAAATGAAGAGATTTTGACAAGCATGAAATAACGACATGAAAGCGTTTTGTCAGATAGGTATTCTCCCCTCAGGAGATGTGCAGTTACGTCACGTATAGTGACGTAATCAAAAATGATACTTCTTAGCTATCATAACCACAAATATCGATTTCCAAAATGGCAAACAAAATTCTGGTGTTAATTTACAACATCCAGTAAAGAACTAGATAAAGATTCTCTAACTGTACTTTTCACAGCCTATTAAAAACGCAAACTATTATAATAACATCTTGGCTGGATTTTTTTTTATGAGAATATCGATAATTATGGTTTTCTACATACTACTTAAAATGTTAATAATTAATAAACTTCGTAAGTCTTTAAAAATATTGATCAGTGACTAAACCTAATTAAAGAAAAGTGATAATACTCAACAAATGAGACCAGATTAGGATATCACAACGAACTTTTATTTCAATAACAACCCGTAGAGTGGAAATGCCCACTAACCAAAACTAAGCAAACCTAACCAAAAATTCAACTTCTCTTGAGTTTTAAAATCTTTTATTCATATTTTAGGTTTTCCCAGCACAGCAACCCACTTTTCACAATTGTTTTTGCAGAAAATTATTTTTTTGTATTAAATTGCAATCATCTCACTCATAGCATGAAAAGCCCTTTTTAACGACTCCGGAAATGTTGGGACACCCCCCATCAATTTTCTTTTAGAGGGCCTCAACCTTTAAAAGAGTGTTCAATCTAAAATTTTGCGGAAAACGAGTTTTAAAGATGTTTCAAGATGGCAATTACGCCCTCTGGTGGTCATTTCAGAACCTTAAAAATTATTTACAGCATTTCCCGATTTACTTAATAATTTTTAGATTTAGATTTTTGTAAAGGGGTTGTATTCTGGCAGTGGCAGTACCTACAAGTACCTACATCGACACTTATATACAATACCCTGCCTACCGTTTTTAATTGATGTAGATTGTTTGAGAACCACTGACTAGTTTTATTACATAATACACTTAATACTTACTTAATACTACTTCATTACGTAATTTTTTCAAAAATTTTGCGCGAGAATTTAAAATATCTCTATTATTTTTTTATTATAATTCCAAAACTTTGTATATTACCTGCTCGGAAAAAGTGATCTTATTGACGGTGTGCCTGATAAAGCCGGCTTTGAGGAGGTGCGACGCGTACTTGCGGGCATCCCTCCTCTCCGGGAACCCCTCGACGTGCGTCAGCAACCAGTCGATCATGTCCGTGCCAATGAACGCGTTCGGTATGGTGATCTTCAGCCACATCCGGTCGCGGATTTCGAGGCCGCTGTCCGGTCGCTGCATCGCCTGCACGATCTCCGACATCGGCGAATTGATCGTCAACGGTTCGGCCAAATCTGGAAATAGATCGCGACCTGCACGTAAAGCCGCGAAGTGGCGCCTCGAGCGAGCGAAATAGAGTCACTGCATAAACAATCGATCTAATTTCATAATTGCAATAATAGAAATAATAGATTTTAATAATCGAATGATCATTGAAATAAACGACTATATATAAGAGTAATAAAAATTAGGATTAAAAAACAACTTATTCTAGATTATGAATTATATGATTATTTCGATTTGCAGGAGGAAGTAATGATAAGCATCTACAAATTTGTATTTAAAAAGACGATCTTTTTCTTTTGGAATTAGTGATGATGCTAGTTGGCGACAATATCCTTTCAGAAGGCACTGCTGTAGCAGGAACACAGAGATATTTTTGATGAATTTTGAATAATTCAGGCAGTAGATTTTTGTCGAGTGGGCTTGAAGAACGCGGTATATTCGGCATTGACAAATTACATATTATATAGGTACAATCCGAGTTTCGAGGTCGACCTCAGCTTTGGGTGAAACGGTCGCAGGTTTAACTGAAGTTCAGGCAAAAAGATTTCAAGTTCTTCAAGTACCCATTTCACGGCGTTGTCTGCATTATCTTGAAGACTCTTTAAAACGCAGGTCCAAGAAAGTGGCTTTTGTTGATATTTTGTCTCGTTCATAACTGCCGAGCAGTCTTAAAATAATTGCCATTAAATCAGCTTGCAGCTTATTAGCAATATTGGTCAGGCAGAGTCCTTGCACAAGTGGAATTATCGTAAACAAGGTAGGGTATTTTTATTTTTCTCCAGGTAAGGTTGTTGTTCAATAAATCAAACGGCTTTAGAATGCGAACGCAATCCTCTAGTGCTAGCCATTCCTTTGCGTTGAATATCTCAGGAGAATTTGGTAAACTGGACAACACACAGCAGTAATTGGAGCCTTAACGGCTATTAACCTATCAAGCACCTATTCGAGTTCCAGCGCGTCCCTACATCTTGCTTCAGTTTTAATTGAGAAGTTTTCTCTTGTTGCTGCATCTACGAAAGTTTCTCTACAGCAAGGGTACTGTCTTTGAAATGTGCTACGACATTTCTAATTTTTTTCAATATAACACCTATCTCACTATTTTGTCCAAATCCCTCGTTTACCGATAAATTTAGAGTATGCGAGACATGATCATTTTTAGCCGATTTTTTATTTGTATCATTAGCTGAAACCACCATGGCGATCTTCTAAGAAATATGCCACTGGTTAAAAATGTCCATTAACTCCGATGTTAAATGTGATCCAGGTCGACTAACTGTCCATTGTCTATAAAATCAATAGTTGCTGTAATGTAGTGTAATGTAGAATTTAGCGACTTGAGTTTGATACAGTTCAGGAATTAGTTGCGAAGTTAAGATTTTTTGAGACGGGACTGAATACAATCGATTCAACAATTTAACAAACTCCCAAAACCCCTTATCTTCAACAATTCCCAAGGATTGATTCATTATGATTAGTTCTTAGTGAGCTTTGTATTGGATTTCCATGATCAAGCAAGACGTAACTGTCTTATGGATCTCTTTGACGGTAAAGTTAATTGCGATGATCGCTTTTTAGTTTTCCGCTTGTAGAAGCTACACTACAAGTACAAGTAGATGCCTAAAAGTACAGGCCTTATCTTGTTTTGATCCAAATTATTCCTCCCATATTGGGCAACATCTCCAGTAAGTCCATTCAAAGTTTAGGATACTAAGGAAACTCTTGCAAAATATTCTCAATTGGGTTAAGATCAGCACGGGTTGCTGGTTAATCCACAGTTTCAATTTCAACCCCATTAAAATCATTTTGCACAATCTGCACAAACATTCTCACCAATGTAAGGGCTAATGGTATCAAATGATTTTATATACCTATCTACTATCAATATAAACAGTTAACCAAATAATCATGTATTTTGAAGTTACATTGGCCAATTGGTCTTTAATAAACTTTTATAGGTCTATCTGAGATGCAGAGTCAAAATCTGGTTTCCTCTGACTAAGGTACTCTTTTCCCGTCTTCAACAGTCCAATAGATGTATTTTCTAGTAAAGTTTAACATTGATCTAGGATGCCCTGAGGTCAAAGATTCAGCAAGGCGCCAATGAACAGTACCAGTTGAAATTCTGCTTCCTGTAGCTATCCCCCTGTCACAAACTATTGTCTTAAACAGAGACCCTCAAAAGATGGTCTGCGTTTATCAGTTCTTCTTAAGTACTGACTTGTCTTCCTGTAACTTTCGATCATCCGAGATGTATCTGATACACCAAATCTTTGTCCACTTCTTAGAAAGCTCCATTCCATTTCCATTAAAATTACTCTTCAGCGCTCAAATTTCTAGAATGGCGTTTCATAATAAACACTTTAACTAAACCGTACCTCACAAATGTAGATTTTAAGTGCAAATGATAAATTTTAGGAATAAAAATTACAAAAAACGAAGATGTTATTTATTTGAATTTCAACAAAATAAAAATAAAATAAAGCGACTTCGATAAAAAAAAAACTGTCTAATGAATATTTTTATTTTTATATGAATTTACAAAAATAATTCAAAATAATTTTTTCTACTCCTGTCTGTAAAATGCCTAATTACCCACCGATCTAGAGTGCGGGAAGCGTCACTTTACCACATCAGTTTCATTTCCCACGAATCCGAGCCATTTCGGACATTTCCGGGATTTTACCGCACGGATTTAGGAGCGATCGAATGTTTCCGGAGATATTTCCCACGCTTTGAATTTTGACGTTTGTCAATTCTGACGGTCATGTCAGTGAATGTATTCGTGTTGTTTTGAGAAAATGTACTCAAAAACTAACGATTGTAGAAAAATTATAGTATGCAACATGTCCGGTAAACTTTTTAACACACTCGTTTATTAAAAACTCGCTCCGCTCGTGTCAAATAAACTCCTGAGTCAAATGCTATTTACCGCGCTTGTTGCATAATATACTATAATGGTGCGTTAATTTTGCTGGCCAGTGTATATTTTGCAGTAAATTGATAAACAATAAGACAAATTTAAGGGAATTCACTACTACTACTACTACTATTCTATTGCTACATTGTTATAAACATGGTTAAATAACAATATTGTTAAGACTTTTCTTGACTTTTAAGACTGTTTCCTGCATGTTAACAATAACAACTGTGAAACAAGACTGTAACCAGCATTGCGAATGAAGTTATCATTTGGATAATGGGTATCTGGCTGGATGATTTTTTTAATGAATGAAAGAAGAAGATTTAAATTAAAAAATTTCCATGAATCTTTAAATTTCGAATGGAATTCAACGTTGCCAAGGTAATTAATTTAACTTTACGACAACTTGCACATAAGTTAGGTTAATGTTTTTAAATGTGTGTCCTATTTGAAAAGCAAACGCGTTTCTGTTAAAACTAGATAAACATTTTAAATTAAGTTCCGAGTTTTTGCCTAAATTTTGGTAGTTGTAACCCGGTGCATTCTTTCAATTAGTTCAATTCTTTTCGCTTACATTATAAATTTAAAACGTTGCGCTAGTCGCGATTTTCTTAAATATTTACCCTTGGGTTAGTTACACCTGAGCGTTCTGTTTTGAAAAATTTTATATTTCACTTCTTTTTCAATGAAAGGGCCAAGACAAGATTACTACTGATATCTATGTCTTTCTCCTATCGATCGATCGATTGTAACTCGTAAAATTCCAACGAAATTTAAATTTTCAACTAAAATGCGACGTTGCCAAGAAAGTAAAATTTGATTTTATGATGACTCAGACATATATTTTGTTAATGTCTTTTGAGATGTACCTACCGGGACCGAGAAGACACTCACGTTCGTTGGCAGGCACGGTGCTCGCTATCGAGGTGCTGGAGACGGTGGAACTGCTCGGAGGTCTAGCCACGGGGTCGCCCCTGACCGCGGCCGTGTGCGCCACCCATGCACCTTAAAATGTAGTTTTGGTTGGTTTCTATTATGATTCTGGTCTTTTCACAGTTTAAATCTTGGTTCCCGCAAATCGATATTCGTGACATATTAAACTTTTCAAAGGAACTTCCACAATAATAATATTTACAAAACTTCTGGATTCCTCCTGCGTCGGTGGCGGTTGAGTCGAACTTGCTAACGTCTCGCAAATCATCCTGTTGGCTTCTTCATTGCTTAACCAAAACTGGGTCTCTACTCGGTGGTTTTCTACTCGGTACCTCTTTATATATTGTTAGAGAGGGGCGGACTTAAAGGAGGGACATGAACATTGTCTCGGATGACTGATTCCCATATTGGTGAAAGGTCGCGGTTAAGATTGTATGGATGCTTATACATATCTATAGATTCTCAGATTTTTCGTTGGTAGAAAAATTCATTACATGCAAGAATTTTAGTTTTATTGAATAAAATTAGGTGTCCGATTTAGTGGTTGTGTTGGGCAACTGCCCATGAGTTTATTTGTCATTGTCTTAAGGCTCTTTCATGTTCTTTAATGTATTCTTTGTCGCATAGGTATGTGACAAGTGGTAAATCTGGTTTTGCAGTTATATTTCTTAAGAACGTTTGATATGTGGTCAGTGATATTTTGAATGAAAGAAAGGCCAAGAGTAGCAACTCTGGAGTTGGTTTTGAACTCATTGTCTTTGAACGCTTGATATCTCTAATGCGGAAATTATAAGAAGCGAGCAGATGTTAAAGTATTTTTTCTGGGTTCAGTGACTCGGATTGAGATGGTTTTACGGTTCTGTAAACAATAGAATTGGACGGTGATGTGCGTAGGTTTTCTGTAAACAGAATGCCTCAATATTAGGTCTGATTTTCTATTGATAAGAATATCTAAGAATGGGAGATTATTATTATTAGCTTCTAATTCAATGGTAAAACGTAAGTTGGGGTGTATAGAGTTTAAATGGCTAAGAAAATCTGGTAGGGTTTTTTGACCATGACAAATAACAAAAGTATCGTCAACGTTGGGTTTCCATAATTTTTGGTTTTAGATGGAAGGTGTCCAGGGCTTTCTTCTCAAAGACTTCCATAAATATATTCGCGATGACTGGTGATAATGGAAAATCTGTAGCTATTCCCTATTTTTGTTCAAAAATTTGACCGTTATAAGAAAAATATGTTACCGCTAGGATACATTGGACAGCTCTGACGAAAAATATCAATTAGGCTCAAAGAGCAGCAGTTGCCAAACACAATCACGAAACCACTCACCAAATTTTATTCAAAAAGACTAAAATTTACGCATGTGATCAATGCTTGTACCAACGAAAAATCCGAAAATCTGTTGAAATCTAGAAGCAACCAAACAATCTTAATCGCGACTCAGGTCTTTATCTTTCACAAGTATACCAATCAGTCATTCGAGATAATGTTCATGCCCCTCCTTTACCTCCGCCTCCCTCAAATAAGATATAAGCAGAGTAGAATGCGAGACAGTTTCAGTGAAGCTCTGAAGAAGAAGTTTTGTAAATAAAATATTAAAAGTATTGTTTTTTAGTAAAACCAAACACAAGACACAAGATATATTTATAGCAATGAAGGTACACCATAATTTCGCTTTTACGTATAATTTCTCGGAATTTTAGAAAATTCCTTTAAAATTTTGTGTATTTTGAAAAAGCATTTAAACCCATTAATTATTTTATTAAACTAAGAAGAAACAAAAGTATGGTAGTTATCATTAAACACAATTCAAAATGAATGAAAGTTTAAATATTACAATACAACCTAAACGGTAAAATGAATGCAGTAAAAGGCAATACAAAGCGGTATTTTCATAACATAAAGGTCAAAGATCTTTTATATGGGTTGATGAATGTCGATGTGAATGTGTTCATTTCTAATCCATGGCCTAATTATTTTCAACTTATTTTGGTCCCGCAATTATTTTTCAAATAAAAAACTACAATGCAAATATCTCGAAAACGGTATGTTTTATCGATGGCAATATAGTAAAAGGTTTGGCGTAGTGGTAAGAATATGATCTATGTATCACTAAAAATGGTGGAAGCTGTTTACACCAATACGAAAGACCGATCATGTCGACGGTCTGTAAAGAATCTTAAAATGCTTAGCAATCACTGTTTGCATTGTTTCTTTGATTATTTTTATGTGGTTTGTCAAGATATGCTTAATTAATACAACTAGAGATATGTATTTCGACAAATTTCAGGCGATGTTCACACAATAAAAGATGTTTAGTGATATTGATTGAATTGAAGATGAATCAAAAAGGTGAGCATTTTATGATTCTTTACAGACCTACAGCAAAAATCGGAACTCACCTGATGGTCAAAGATTTTTAATGATATATGTTACTACCAAACTCGGGACCTACAACATAGTAGGAAAAGCAGCGACGGTGTTTAATAAAGTTGACGTATTAAACTGACACCTTGCGTTCGCGTGATCAGTGCATAATTCGATATTTACTGACTGACGTGTGACTTGACCCTTAGAACGAAAACATTTGATCGCTCTCAACTACTTGACTTAAATACAGCAAATGCCTGAAGAAGCTAGCTAGTGAAGAGGGCATCCAACAGTAATACGTTTTGCACGCTTGATCTATACAGGGTGAGTCAAAGATAGAGTAAAATTCATTACTTCATCGGCTTCAAAAGTAATGAGAAAATATTAAATAAAAAAGGTGAAAAGATTGTTAGGATGCACACTCTCAAATTATCTTAAAGTACACAGGGTGGCTCAAAAAAAAGCGTGACGAATAAATCATACACTTTGTTAAAATCGAAGACCCTGTTTTCCAAATTTTATTTTGAATTCCTTTTAAAATTCTTCAACTTTCTTAATAATGATAATACATGCCTAAAAGTAATAGTTTTTCCAATATTTTAATTTTTCTAAAAAAAAATACTAGTTTTCACATTTGCAAAAAAAATTACGATAGCGTTATTATTCTTATTATTACTAAAGGTAGATCACTCATATTTGATATTATCGTTAATCGAAGATAAAATAAAAGATATATGCAACATAAGTTGAATTAGATGCTATATATAGAATGTTCAAAATAAACAAATATATTTGGATCATTTTAAATCAAAAATCACGATTTGCTTAAATGGCACACCATATATACTATTATTTTTTTCTGAAAGATCTTACTTAATCTCTATAATTATCTCTAAAACCTAAACCTGCTGGAATCCTCCCGATTACCTTTCTCTGCCGTAAAAATCATTTCACGTCACGGTGCAATTAAAAAACCCTTTCAACATGGGCAGCATATTCACATACCAACACTCCATATGCAATACAAGACCATACAAACATTTGCGAATAAAAAAAAAACATAATTTGATACACTCGGTCTATGGGCCTGACGGGTTCTGTTCTGGGTATTGTAAAGTATCCTTTGGGATTGGGATCCCAACATTTGGCCACCACCAGTTTTATGGGCCTGAAAACCGGCAGGAATGCAGGCGACGTCTCCAGCGTTAAAAATACTCTTACCCCGGTTTTTGTACGACTTCCCTCAGGATCTTAACCGCCTCGTCGTTGGACATATTTTCGAAGTTGACGTCGTTGACTTGCAGGATCATGTCGCCGGGCTCTATCCTGCCGTCCAAAGCGACCGCTCCTCTAAAATATAATAAATTAATGGAGTTAATTTATTATATTTTTATGTTTTCAGGCTCGGGTGCCATTTTTAAAGGTCAAGAATTAAAATTTATATTCAAAACTTAACAAAGTTGTTGGCATCACATAAACTTAACCTCCAATTTTTTTCGTCTTCTTTTATTATTTACATAGTAGATATAATTTTCCCCTATGTGGTTTAGTGATAATCTAAAAATATATATGCAAAAAATTGGTAGATTAGACGCCTTGACCGACTGACCAAGACCTGAAACTTGAAATTAATTGATTTTATGCACTCAATTTTTATAGAATATTGGTCAAAATCTTCCACTATCTGGTTACGTGTTAATTAAAAATATATATATATATATTCTTAAGCAAGACAATGTTTGTTTAGCCAGTAGGTTATAAACCTACGCAGCTACTTTAAGGTTTTCTTTGCTATGGTTGGGTATATCACATATCTCAGAGATCACTATTGAACTCTTTTAAGATACTAGAGACTAACTTTTTAAAACTCTTCTTAGTAAGTGAGAGGAGCTTGGGGAACATATCTGGATTGCTGTTAGAAACAGTTTTTCCTATTTTACGCTCCTAACTCCAACATACGCATCTTACTTTCTAACTTTGTCCCTAAATATTGTATTCCATTGTACCTTTGGGTGACTTTAATACCAATCTATATTAGATGGAAAATAGGGCTTCTATTCTATTGTGAAAAAAATTACTGATGTTTTTCATTGACAGAAGCTTCTTACAGTAACAGTAGGTCGAAGGACATAGATATGGCAATACAACAATAAAGTAGACTTATTCAAAAATGAGCTTCTAAAGATTGTAAATTGACATCCCCGTCTTAAAATTTTACAAGGCAAAAAGAAACCTTATCAACCCTGGATCAGCCCCACTATAAGCAATGAATCATTAGCCGACCCGATGAAAATTTGCTGTTGTTTTATAAAACTAATAAATTAACAAATACTCCATTTCAAATTACTATGTTCAAGGAGGATCGTAATTATAAATAATTTGGGTTAGTATAAGTATGTATAAACTATAACATCAACGTTTTTTGCTTTTCTGTCAAAGTTTGCAGCTGAGGTTCCCAACTTAATGTACTGATCATAAACAGGTGACCAAATTGGTGTTACAGTTAACTTTTGTGATGTCAATTGAAAATTCATCACAATTTCTCATGGTGAAACCGAAGAGCTTGAGACTTTTTTGTGTTATGTGTGATAAGAGACCCTTAAAACCAACACTTTTGTTAAAAATTAAGTCTAGATCTCTGTGTTGATTTTTGTAACATAATTTTTCATTATTCATTGTGTAATTGGATTCAAAGTTTTTACTTACTTTAATCCTTAATAACTTCAAAACTTGAAGTTGAATACATTGCTCCAAACTTAATATTCGCACACGGACACAAGTTAAACGCTTAAAGATAAAAAGCTGCTAGATATGTGATCGGCGTATCCTGGGTACAATATGTTTCTCTTGTAAAATACTGAAATATAAAAGCTCTCCACACCTTTTAGTGTACGCAAAAAATAGTTGTAATGTTAATATATACATAAAAAATATTTTAACAATACCATTATACTTTTTAAAAGCCTTCCTATTATTACACATATTTTGGCGTAAACGATTTCTCGTCTTCTCCTTCAACTTTTAAATACAAGAAGCTATTTAGTCCACAGTGTGTTATAATAAAGGGAATGAGGTTTCTTGTTCCACACATATAATAAAATCAGTCTTCTTTCCTATCCTCTCCAAACTTTAAGCATTATAGTCATATATTTATATTAATAATTATATTAATACTGTGCAGTAATAGTATTTGTAATTATTTTTTAGTTCTTTTGTTTTTTGCTACCAACCGTGGTGCCATCTATCGACGAGTAGCGGTATTTTGAAACCTCCCGCCAGATGGACGTTGTGTAAGGAACTACACTACTACTAGTCTTACCCTTTCATTATAGACCCCACGTATATGCCGCCATCGCCGCCCTTGTTGCTTTGCCCCACTATCGAAATACCCAAAAAATTAACAGTGTCCATGTTCAGCGTGACAGTGATAATGTTTAACGACATGGTGGAGTCAGTTATGCTGGAATAAGAACTAGTCCTCGACATGGCCTGGAGTCGTTGTTTTCGCCTCCTCTGAGGCCTTTTGCGACCCGCCACGTGCAATCGGCTGATGCTCGAGCATTCTGACAAGGCCGTGTGCCTACCCGTCGTCTCCGATTGAAAACTGGTGGTTTCGATATCGGAACTCAGTACCGACGCGGTCTCATAGACCCTAAAACGTTGACTTTGTCGTTTTGATATGACAGAAAGGGGATCGTTAGAACCTCGGAAGGTGTCCGTTGATTCTGGACGAGTATTTGTGGTGCCTTCTGCCCTGCCTCGAGCTGATTATGCTCTCGGTATCGGTACAGATTGATTCGGGGGCCTGAGGCGGCAGTCGCGGTTCCGACGGATGGGTTACGCTGTCCATACATTGGGAACCGCCGTCGGACGGGACAAGAAAATTGCTAAACCCAACAATGCTACAAGCAGCTATTACATTGCTATGGTCTGACGATATGTAACAGTATGAACTAAATAAAATAAAGAAGCATATAATATGTGGGGTGTTGGGTAGATCCAGGTCTGACATATTTTTTTCTGAACCGACTCTGGCTTTGCTTTGTGAGAGAGTTATAAATTTCAAATTTTTATTATTTGTATTTAATATGAACTACAAATTTTAGTGTTCTTGGTAAGAAAGAAATAAAGATTGCAAAATGTGTAAAAGTGTGTGTGTGTGTGTGTGTGTGTGTGTGTGTGTGTGTGTGTGTGTGTGTGTGTGTGTGTGTGTGTGTGTGTGTGTGTGTGTGTGTGTGTGTGTGTGTGTGTGTGTGTGTGTGTGTGTGTGTGTGTGTGTGTGTGTGTGTGTGTGTGTGTGTGTGTGTGTGTGTGTGTGTGTGTGTGTGTGTGTGTGTGTGTGTGTGTGTGTGTGTGTGTGTGTGTGTGTGTGTGTGTGTGTGTGTGTGTGTGTGTGTGTGTGTGTGTGTGTGTGTGTGTGTGTGTGTGTGTGTGTGTGTGTGTGTGTGTGTGTGTGTGTGTGTGTGTGTGTGTGTGTGTGTGTGTGTGTGTGTGTGTGTGTGTGTGTGTGTGTGTGTGTGTGTGTGTGTGTGTGTGTGTGTGTGTGTGTGTGTGTGTGTGTGTGTGTGTGTGTGTGTGTGTGTGTGTGTGTGTGTGTGTGTGTGTGTGTGTGTGTGTGTGTGTGTGTGTGTGTGTGTGTGTGTGTGTGTGTGTGTGTGTGTGTGTGTGTGTGTGTGTGTGTGTGTGTGTGTGTGTGTGTGTGTGTGTGTGTGTGTGTGTGTGTGTGTGTGTGTGTGTGTGTGTGTGTGTGTGTGTGTGTGTGTGTGTGTGTGTGTGTGTGTGTGTGTGTGTGTGTGTGTGTGTGTGTGTGTGTGTGTGTGTGTGTGTGTGTGTGTGTGTGTGTGTGTGTGTGTGTGTGTGTGTGTGTGTGTGTGTGTGTGTGTGTGTGTGTGTGTGTGTGTGTGTGTGTGTGTGTGTGTGTGTGTGTGTGTGTGTGTGTGTGTGTGTGTGTGTGTGTGTGTGTGTGTGTGTGTGTGTGTGTGTGTGTGTGTGTGTGTGTGTGTGTGTGTGTGTGTGTGTGTGTGTGTGTGTGTGTGTGTGTGTGTGTGTGTGTGTGTGTGTGTGTGTGTGTGTGTGTGTGTGTGTGTGTGTGTGTGTGTGTGTGTGTGTGTGTGTGTGTGTGTGTGTGTGTGTGTGTGTGTGTGTGTGTGTGTGTGTGTGTGTGTGTGTGTGTGTGTGTGTGTGTGTGTGTGTGTGTGTGTGTGTGTGTGTGTGTGTGTGTGTGTGTGTGTGTGTGTGTGTGTGTGTGTGTGTGTGTGTGTGTGTGTGTGTGTGTGTGTGTGTGTGTGTGTGTGTGTGTGTGTGTGTGTGTGTGTGTGTGTGTGTGTGTGTGTGTGTGTGTGTGTGTGTGTGTGTGTGTGTGTGTGTGTGTGTGTGTGTGTGTGTGTGTGTGTGTGTGTGTGTGTGTGTGTGTGTGTGTGTGTGTGTGTGTGTGTGTGTGTGTGTGTGTGTGTGTGTGTGTGTGTGTGTGTGTGTGTGTGTGTGTGTGTGTGTGTGTGTGTGTGTGTGTGTGTGTGTGTGTGTGTGTGTGTGTGTGTGTGTGTGTGTGTGTGTGTGTGTGTGTGTGTGTGTGTGTGTGTGTGTGTGTGTGTGTGTGTGTGTGTGTGTGTGTGTGTGTGTGTGTGTGTGTGTGTGTGTGTGTGTGTGTGTGTGTGTGTGTGTGTGTGTGTGTGTGTGTGTGTGTGTGTGTGTGTGTGTGTGTGTGTGTGTGTGTGTGTGTGTTGAACATATGATTAAAATAGAAGAATGTGGAAAGCTGATAACATGCTAGAAAACACTGTAGAGCCCCTTATTATTTCTATGGACTCCAAGGACTATAATTCATCTGACTACTCAAAACACAATCCCCAAAATTTACAAATCATATTTTATATATATTTATTACAATTTATCTATTTCCACATTATTCTTATTTCCATATCAGGTTTCATTTACTTGAATAATCATGTACAATTATTATTATATTTATTATTTTCATAAACTATCCGTAGTAACGCCGCTGTCACAATACTTTCATTACCCAAACTCGTCATTCTATTGTAAGCAAATTAGTGTAACCATAATTTAGGAAGGATTTGGGGTGTGTGGGTCTTAAAAACTGAAATATGAAGTTTTTAAAAAGTATCATTGCAATTTATCTGAACTTTCGCATATAACCTTCAAGCCTGTTTGGTAAAATTACATTTTATTACTCTCGCGCATTAAAAAAGACTATAGCGACGAACGATATGAACTTCTGATGTCCATAAAACAATATTTAAATGGTCAAAAAAATACTTTCATAATTATTTTGCAGTAATTTCTAATTATTTTTAGAAACCTGAAAACTTACCCAACTAACTACCCGCCCGTTGAAACAGGGCAGATGGGCGGTATCTTCTATAATTTCTTCTTTGACAACCCTGTAATATTATCACACATGAATCGAAATTTATCCAGTTTTTTTTTAATTGGAGGATGCGAATCAAAGAAAGACGGCGAAAGCGTAACGAAAATTCAAAAGAACGATCACAATAAGCTCCCATTCAGCTGTCAAAGCTGATATTAATTGTATGTTTACATATAAAGACATCATGGCTACATAAAAGCTATCAAAAAACCATTATGTTCGGGAAAAAGCGATATAACGCGAGTAGGATAGCCGCGCGGAGAAAATATTCTCCCCGTAAAAACCTCTGCGAGAAAATTTCAAAACGACAGCGGAAAAATTACCCGAAATCGTCATCCATCGACTTAAAGAAAAACTTGTAATTCGGTCTGTTAAGGACATTTTTAAAGTCTGCCAGAGTCACTTTGTCGGGCGAAATCGGGATTTTCACCAGGTACGGGGTTTCCTCATCATCTATGTGGTAAATCACTTTCGTTTCTTCCATTTTCCGCGGCTTATTTTCCGAGAATTCACATCACTTCCACGGCAACGGTACACATTTCCACAACATGGCGGCCATTACTGCGAGAAAAATCACCTCATCCCCACCCACTAGTCGCGCGGAGAAAGTTCAATGCACGACTTTTTTTTCTAAATCCACCATTAAAACGATTCGGAGGTCTCGTAACGACAAGAAATTGTGATTTGGAAGTGGTTTTAAAACAAATTAAACATTTTTTGCGAAATTTTATTTTTGTTTACAATCATCTTACAGAGACCTGTAATTTTTTTTTAATTTAGCCGGGAAGCCAACCCATTTGAAAGTGGCGATTAGTTCAAATGGCCCCCTACGAGCGTCAAATCCGTCAAAAAGTAGGTCAATATTTTACCCGTTTGATACGTGTGTTCATATGTTTAGAAATTTTCAACAGTTTTTCACATGAAGCGTTCAATCGAGTAAGTGTCTTCCACGGTAACGATTAGATATGCGGCGGAGTCACGCCGCGTTTACGAGAAAGTCCTTCCGTTCCAGCCCAAAATCTAACCTTAGAATGGATTAAACCCCGAAAATATGGCAGATAAACTCGGTCTGGGTAATGAAGTTCGCGAGTTGAAAATAGGACAGAGTTTCACCAATCCCCGGTCTACCGCCTTCCACACCGTCAGGTGTAAGTGCGGTCGCCACTTGCCTACTTTAATCCCATCAATTCCCTGTGTTTTAGATGATTTTAAACCCGCCTCGGTTGATACCAACAAGAAAGCGACGCTCGATGTGGGAGATAATCACCAAGTCACGGTAACAGTGCCGCATTTAGGTAAACAGGAGCCATTTGTAGTAACTTTTTTGAGATTCGGGACATATTGCCTTTCAGATGGATCTGGCACAGCTCAGACAGTATTCAAAGGCTCCCAAAGACCTTACACTAAGGAATGCGTCTTGATAATAGATCGTATCACTGGCGAAATTACTCTAGAGAAATTAGCTTGCAATATACAAGTTAAAAAAACCCGTAGCGAGTATAACAAAGCTCCGGTTCCCTTTCCTCAAGGTAATAAATAAAATAATCTCTATTGCATGAAAAATGAAATTACCAAATGCTACATGCAAAGATGGAAAGTACCTGCAGCTAAGTGTAACCACCTTTCAATAATATAATTTGAAAAACTTTACGACCACAACTAAATATGTACAAAAAGGTTTATAAATTCTATATACCAGTAGACAGTCAATGATATGTCAAAAATTCTGATGATTTTTAAATATATGTTTGCTACAATCTGTATAGGAACAAAGTACTGAGTTATTAATCAATGTTAATTTGTCTAAAAGAACTATCAAAGACTCAAGTCATATCTTTTAAAGCAGGACAACAATATGACTGATCGAATACAGAGGTTATATCACTAGTAATCCTGAGCAAAGCTCTAGCGCAGATTGCATCTGAACTCTGACTGGAATTTAAGTATTGACATTTTCACATTTGACCACTTTTTCAAGCATTTTTGAAGGCAGCAGAAAGAATGTCTATTCTTCAATGGCTTTAACAGTAGAGTAGACAAAGTTTCAACACATCTCAAAAGGCGGAAGTCTAGATTAATATCTTGATCTCAGGTACTCAACATTAACTGAATATTACAATAATAATGAAACCAGCTAATTGATGATCAGTAAAATACTAATTTGTTTATAACAGAGACTTTTTTAATTCCGATAAATGAACCTAACTTTTTTTCTGAGATATATTCAAAATCTTAAAAATTAACTTTATGGCTTGATAGCTAAAGTAGCGTTCAAATTTACAAGACTTATGCTGGGGCATATTCGGAATGTTTTTCTTCCTTAGAGTAGCATTGTGAATTTCATAGCAAAAAACTAAACAATCTTTCAGGTACATTGGTAAATAATATTTCACAAACTGAAATACAACAATTGCAACTAAAAAAAAACTCGCATTTAGTTTTGAGTCATTTCAACAAATGTTTTCTGGATCTGTTCTGGGTTTTTTGGTAATCTGGTTTTATTAGCAATGGTTAAGAATGGATAATATAATGGATGACAGTATATAACTTTAGATAGAGTTTTTTTAAATTTTTAAATTCAATATATGTTTATTTGCCTATAGCATATTGAGGGATATATAAGCCTTTTTATATAAATTAGAAATGTGACTAATATATCTCAGTTAGCACTCCTAAGTTTTTTGCTTGATTTGTAAATTTAGGATCTCCATTTTACAATTGGATTTTAATGTCAACACACACAAAATTATAGCTTCCAAGGGGAGCAAATTGCATAATTTGTGTTTTTTTAGAATTTATCTTAACATTGCGTTTTTTACTGTAATGGGAAAGACTTTTAGGATCCAAACTAAGAGTAGGTTCGACCTTTTCATCATTAATTGATTAACAGCTGGGTGTCATCAGCATATGAATTTGAAAAAAAATGGACCTCCTTAGACATATCAAATGTATACCAGAGATGCAACAGAGGTCCAAGAATTGAACCTGCCTCCTATTGTTTAAATACGACTGGAAAAAGGTACAGATCGATTGGTGAAACCAAAGTGCTTTAGTTTAGCACAAAATAACTCATGATCCACTCGATCGAATACCCCTCGAGTTCAGCCTGAAATTGCTAGATGTTTCTGGTTTTCAAATTTTATTGAGCAAGTCATGGTCCGATTGTATACGCTTGAAATTACTGTTTGATTGTTACTTATATAAATTAAATCTCTAAGCAGGTTCGTTATTTTGGGTAATTCTAGCTGGATCGGTAATCATTTGACAAAATTGGAATGAGGTAAAAATGTTTATAGATAAATCTGTAATTTAATCCTGCTCTAGATCATAAATTTACATTAAAATCTCCAGTACACACACACACAAAAAATAATCGTGATTGCCTAATTGGATCAGGAAAACATACGTCAATTTTTCGAAGATAAATTGTGGATGTTGATGCTGACGTTTCGTCAATGATCCTGTTTGCTTCTTCAGAGCTTAACTGAAACGGGTTTGCATTCTACCCTGTGCCTGCTTATATACAGTTTGAAGGGGGGGGAGCTAAAGGAGGTACATGAGATGACTGATTCCCATATTAGTCGTGCAGGTACAGAGTAGAATCCAAACCCGTTTTAGTAAAGTTCTGTCGATCAATAACCGACACAGAACAGGTGTAAATAGTAAAATATATGTCATTGATTAGACAATTGGTATTTCCCCACATGCAGATAGATTAGGCCAACAATCGACGTCGAGTGGGGATAGGAGCTTGTCTCAGCGTTCGGCCACGCCTCCCATAGGGCAGAGGGTCTCGCACAAGACCAGAGTCGCCTCTGGCCGCAAGTCCGAAAGACCCGTGACCCAATTAGTGCCTAAACATTCGCCACTGCGAGCCAGTCCGAACCACCCGTCGCCAAATACCATTCCCGGTAACCAGCGGAGTCCCGGTCGGTTACCATCGTCCAGAGATATACACAACGTGATGGAGTAAGTGATTCATTAACTGGATGAGAAATCAAAAGGCCCGAGACATGGGGGTTTTGCAGAATGCACGGTAATCCGAGTACCCTTGCCAGCCTCCCGATGATAGGCATGGACGATTTCGCGGACCCGTTGCCTCCGTCTCAACCGTCTCTCAACAACCGTCTACCAATAGTGCCGATCAACAACGGCAAAGTGTCTCCGACGCTCAACCTGAGCGATAACGAAAATGGCGTCGGCACTATCAGCGACTCGTCGTCGTCGAGCAGCGACAGCGAATCGGACAGCGATAACGACAAGCCTGCCGCCGAGAGCGCCAAACTTAACGGGTACAGTAATGGAGGATTGAAGATGAACGGCAATTTGGGCACTCTCGACGAGGACTTGTGCCTGTCTGAATCTGGATCGGACTCGGATTAGCTTCAGATGAAAGGTTTGTTAGGTTTGGTTTATTATATAGCAACTTTCAAGTCATTTTGGATGATTGAAGATCGAAGAAGACTTAAATACTGTGAGCAGTGATGTAAAATGACTGCTATTTACTAGTCATTTATGCCACATGTGGGTCATTTATGTCGTTTGAGATTTTAGTCGATAGTTCGTAAAATAAAACATTTTTTATATATAACACTTCTTTAGATATATGAAATTTTTAGTTTCTAAAAAAAACATACAAGAACAAATAAATGAGATTGAGCACATTTCCTAATAGATACCTAATTTAACTAATTTTTTCACATATCATTATTACAATCTGGATCAGTGTCACTTTAAGACATTTTTATAATCTCATGGCATTCAGCGGAATCTTCTTCGGAATTTTCTTGCACTGGAGAATTAAATTCATTAACTGAAGGCCCCAAAGGGTTATGATGAACATATGTTAATTTTACAGCGCGCTCAGTTGTCAATGTATTTCTGCGTTCAATGGGGATAAACCCTTGGCTACTGAATGTCCTTTTTGTGGATGAAGAAGTTACTGGTTGCTGCTGTATACCATACATCTCCCCTGGTCTAGCACATGCATCGCTTTTTTTTTCTTCATTCATTAGAAAAGGTGAATTTGGTAGTTCGCTTTCAAAAAAGTCTTTTATTTTTTTGAATGCTTCGACTACGATACTCATTTCAGCATCATGGGACTGCAGTTTAACTATCTACTTCTTGATAGGCCCAAAAATTATTTTATTTTATTTACATTATTTATCTTATCTCTGAAAAGAAGACGAATTATATGAGTTTGTGATTCCTATGATTTTAAACATGATAAACATAATGAGCCACCTAACCCAGCTTTCACACTTCTTTAAACCCTATGTTGAAAGTTGTGGATCCAAAATATTTACTTTTAGCAAATTTTTATGGTTTGTAATTTTATAGATTTACTGCCTCATATCAAGATACCGGAGAAAACTTACATTTTATTGTATGCCAGCTCCCAAGCTTAACATTTTGATAATAAAAGAAAAGTGAAGTTATATTTTTAAACGACCGATTGGTCACAATCGATTATGACGCGAGCATCATAATGGGGGCTATACACATGCAGGCAAGTTCGCGCGCAATTGTGTCCAGATAAGTCCGCGAGCAAGTGCGAAACAAATTGCTGCCACACACTGTTCGAGGTTCACTAGTTGGTGGGATCTGCTACTGTGCGAAAAATCATCGTCGAAGAAATGTGTGGGATTACAACCGCTGTCGTTCTTGCAGTTTTTTTTTGATAACGTCTTTCTTTGCTGCATCTTTGTTCATTTCTTTCAACTTCTCAACTAATATTTGGCATGCCTCATCTGTTAATGTTTTATTGGAATACTCTTTTCATTTCATCTTCCACAATCACGGATTGTCTTCGCATTTGCTTTAAAAATCAGACACAATGTGATTCGCTTCGAGCCACGCATGGAACTGAACGCGCCGTTAGTTTTGACACATACACATTCGCACTTACTCGCGTGTCTCGACCTGTACAGGCAAGTCTTAACACTTGCCTGCATGTGTATAGGTCACTTAACATCATGGCATGGCATGGGAAGCATATGACCAGGTCATCTGACCAACTCACATCACTAACTGAGTGAACTTAAATATATAACATTAAACGTAGATAAATCCTTTTATTTGAAGTTTCTATAGGTTGAGAAATCTTGAATTCAGAAATTCCCTAGATCATACTCAAAAATAAAGAAGAGTTAAGTCACCTAGAGGCGGTTTCTTTGACAATAACTAAAGTTCCAACTTACATATATATTTAATAAAGCATTGAAATTACTAGCATTTTTAAAAAGATGTTTGAAAGACTTTAACAATATTGATAGCTTTAAAACTCTATTTTGGTCATATATAAGGTTGCAATATGTTTTTCAGATTTAGTTTTCTTACTTCAGCCATCATGTTCAACAGATGAAAAGAGTGTAAAAGGTTCGTGAACTTTGTTGGGCCTCAAAGATGTAAATATATAAACTAGGTATAAAATCCTGAATGGTTTAAAAGATTGTCCGAATTGCTGTTTTTGTTTTTTGCAGTGGTTTTATTTTTTCTAAGCGATAAATATTTTGTTTTATTATATACAAAAAATTGTGACTTATCTTTGATGTGCTTTTCAGATAATACAAAAATTTGCTTATCAATAGTGATTTAGACATCTTTTTATTTGTTTCGCTCAAAAATAAAAAACCTTTGAAACTGTGAGTGATGATATGTAACAATTTTTATACCGATTTTACTGTATGTTTGTATACCATTGAAGGGCTATTGTATTTTTTTCGCTACATGATTGTTCCATTAATAATAATTAAAGAAATGCAAAACGAGAGTTTGAAGGGAACTGAAAATGTGGGAAAAATTGGTTCTCGGGTAATATTTATATCCCCTACACAAAGATAAATTAACACCCTCTTTTCAATATCAACTTTTTCACTTAAAATCCAAATTTTGGTTGTTCCAGGTTGAAAACGATACTGCCTTTTGCAAATGTAAGTGCAACAATCGACAAATCGTGGCAAAGTGTTTATGGTACCGATAGTTTAATAAATATATTCGTTACGTATATTGTATGAGAGGTATAATTACGGAAATAATAAATACAGTCAAGCAGATACCCTGTAATTTAATTTTTTTAATTACAGTGTAATTGCACATTAATCACATACCTAAAAAAAAATAGTGATTAACAAGTATTAAATCCTTGCGCCCTCTAGGTGCTGTCAATTTTTTTTTTTTAAATTGACACGTTTGTAGGGCAAAGAAAACTTTCATGAGGTAAAAAGTTTATTTCTTTTAAGCTATTTACACTCGCTAGAATATAATTTACAGTTAAAATGAATTCCGAAGAGTATCACTTCTAATCGAAAGGTGTTTTTATGGGTTGTGGGATCTTGCGGGCAATAAACCCAGATTTCAATTTGCCGACGTTTCGAAACATATTTCTTCTTCAAGGCTCTATAACAAAATTAGAATATTTGACAAAATAAATAACTAAAAGTTCAGATTTTCAAGAAATTATATATTTTCACATGACAATTGTTTCGACAACACCATGTCTTTATCAAATGTATCAAGTAAAAGCCACCTCAGTTCAATTTTAGAATATTTCAATGTGGGCTTGAAACAGTTACATAAAGCAAAGCTTGTTTAAAAAATATCCAAAATATAAACAACCAGCTACAAAATATAAATAAATTTTAAAAAATTAGACAACCAGGAAACTGCCAATGTGTTTGTACTTACAATCGCAATGAGTTTTAGTAGTCACAATTCCATTGTGTTGTGTATTCATAATCGTTAAAACTGCATAAAACAATCAAATAAACAGCATATTGAGCCCCCAACATAGATAACAAAAAGGTAAATTTAATAAAATATTGTGGTAAGAATTGTTTAGTATCTCATCCCCTAGTCAAACTATTGTTACCCATAAAAAAATCTTTTGACTAGACAAAAAGAATAGTTTAGGAATTTTTGAACTCAGGGCATATTGGGCATTACCAGCCATTTCGATTCTATCTCGCTGTTATGCGTTTTCTTCATGTGTTGTTTGAGGTAGGATTTATCGTTAAACTTTTTGTCGCATATGGTGCACTGGAACGGTTTCTCGCCAGAATGGGTGTACAGATGACGCGTGAGCTTATTCCTGGCGTAGTAGGCCCTCGGACATATGTGACAAATATATTTCCTATCCTTCGACGGCAGTTTGATGAATCCCAGCCCTATCCCGTGTACTTTCGCCATATGGACCTAAATTTCTCAACTGTAGTAAATGGTCTTCGGCAACACAGTGAACCTACCTTCATTACCCGTTGATCTTTGTATTCTTTATCACAGTGCGCGCATTTATGTTCCCTTACATTGGAGTGAGTGCGCATGTGCCTTTGCAACACGCATTTATCGGTGAATTTTTTGTTGCAAAGGTGACACTCGAACTTTTTATCACCTGTATGCCTCCGCATGTGACTATCGTAGTTTGACTTAATGGGGAACGGTTTGCTACATATGGTACACATGTATTTCCAAGTGTTTGAGTCGGAATGAACTACTAACTTGTGAGATCTAAATACGAAAAAAAGGCTAACCTGCTAATATAGTAAAGATTGCCTCTCACCTAATATCTTTGTGAGTATTGAAACACTTTCCACAAGTGTCACACTTATACTCCCGTTTGTTTAGATGTTGCTTCTCATGGATACTTAAATCGCTTTTAGTGATGAAGCCCTTTCCACAATAAGGGCATATGTTAGACCTGATCGCTTCGTGGTACTTGATATGTTGCAACAAATTGGAGGAATTACCGAAACGACTCGGACATCTATCACAAGCGAACGGACGTACATCTTTCGCGCTCATTTGGTGTTCTTCCACACAATGATCTACCAGTTTCAAGCTGGAGTTGAAAACATAACTACACTTTTCACAACGGAACTCGAGCGACCTTTTCCGTTTGCCATTTGATTTCTGACCTTCTTCCTTAGTTTCCTTCTTGGATTCTTCGTCACTGCTGTCGTTCAAATAGTCGGCAGTATCTTGGTTGTCTTCATCGCCATCAGCATCAGTTTCAGTTTTTACATCATCTGGTTTGCTTGGGTCATCTTCTGTTTTTACATCCTTGTGTTCTTCCTGTTTGCGCAGCTGATCCGACTTGATACAAGTCTCTCTGAAACTATACACCAACTCCAAAAGTTTCAAACATTCCGTACAAATAAAGTAAGAGGCTAGCCATTCCTGAAAAACTAAATTCTACCAAACTGGACGGTTCTACATTTCATTTATTAATCTACCACTTCGGGAACACAGGAGCGCAGTTTGCTTAAACTACTGACTTTGCTTTCCTTCCTGTAAGAAATTTTAGTTAAATACAATGCTTTGTTCAGGCAAACGCAACATGTTTGTGGCAAGGCGTTTTTGGGCATCGCTTTTGAATTAGTTTTTGTGTATATTGTGTTTATATTTTAACATTGTGCACAATTTACAAAATTTATAAAAAAACTTTTGTTTACATCGAAACTTTATTGCATTTGACATCTTCTTTTGGCTCATGGGCCACGTTTAAAAGGTTAGGTTGTCAGTCTGTAGTGAAATTAATTTGTAATTCGCTTCATTCGATTCAATGATACTAAATTGAGAAATGAGTTTTTAATTTGCAAATTGCTCGGTCTGAACATCACTGGTATTGTGTACAGTTCTGAACTGCTAATTGAGCTTTTTACACTAGTCACATATACATATTTGAACACTGTTCACAATTTACACTAATAAAAAAATTCTTTACCTTATAGCGAAACTTAATTGTCTTTAGAATCTTCTTTTGGCTCCTGGTCAACAAGCCGTTTCAAAAGATTAGGATCAATGAACTGAAATTTCGTCTGACGTCACATCGTTCCCTTGACTGATATCTAATTTGAAACTTTTTGTTTTCGATTCCATCATACTGCTCGCTGGTGTTAATTCAGTGTAAAACAGTCAGGGTGCTTAGGTAAAAAATAAAAAATGATAAATATCTAATTTGCAAATTGTTCCATCTGAACCTCATTGGTATTGTGTACAGTTCTGAAATGGTGATTGAGGTAACTTTTGTCAACAAATCGCTTTTCGCATGAATCACAAGCAAAGGGTTTCACTCCGGTGTGTGTTCTGATATGTCTAGCCAATTTGTATTTTTCAAAAAACTGACTGGAACACACATGGCAAGAAAATTTTTTGACATTGACCAAGTGCGGGGCATGAATTCGAGTCAGATGTATATCCATCGATCTCTTATCTTTGTACTCTTTATCACAATCGTTGCATTTGTAATCCCTTTCATTGGAATGTAGTTTTAAATGCCGTTTCAACTCAGTCCTAGAAATAAAGGCTTTTCTGCAGATGTGACACGAAAAGTTTCGGCTATTTCGATGCCTTTTTAGGTGATCGTCAAAGTTTGACTTCTGCGGAAATCTTTTTAAACATTCGGGGCAAGAGTACTTCCACAAACTGGGATCTGTGTGAACTACCAGAATGTGAGTTCTGAGGTTCTTATTGGTGTTGAAAGTTTTCTCGCAAGATTGGCATTTATGCTTTCTTTCGTTATAGTGGATGGATTCGTGAGTGCTTAAATCACCTTTGGTTTTGAAGGTCTTGCCACAAAAACTACAAATGTGTGTCCTACTAATTTCGTGGTAGCTCTTGTGTTGAATTAAATTCGCGCTCGATGCGAATCTGCTTCCGCACAATAAACAACTGTAAGGTTTCGCCCCTTTTTGGTCAATGGAATGTGCAGAAACGTAATGCTGCAATATAAGTTTCTTCAACGCGAACTTTTCTCCACATAGTTCGCAGAAAAATTTGTCAGGTGGCTTTTTCCTTTGAGCCGCCACAATTTCCTTATGCCTGGATTGCATATGGCGGTATAGGGATTTTTTTGTAGGAAATGATTCATTGCAGTGCTCACAGACTAAGCCGTGTCTGGAGGCAATATGCAATATTAACTTTTCCTGAACTTTATAAACTCTTTTGCAGTGGTGGCACTCAAAATGATCGCTCGCGGTTTTGTAGACTGCAACATCTTCATCTTGGAAATGTTTAATACTTTGAGCAGGGGAATCACAGTTTGCAGCAATTTCGCAATCTGTGTCAATATTTTCGTATTTGGCTAGAGATGTTCTGTGAGATTCAAATTTAACGCAAAGGTTTTTAAATTCTAATGCATATTCCAACAGAATTTCGCATTTGCAACATATTAAATGACCTTCTTTCCAATGCTAAAACATACTTTTTAAGTTTGCGAACGATGCAATCCTGGTAATTTCCGTACCTGTTCAGGTGCAACAATGTTAAGTTTTTCAACAATTTTTGAACATAATTCATTCAGAATTTTTGCAGATTCGGGCTGAGCTTCTAAACACACGATACAAGCTAAAGTGGGAAGTATTGCCATCTTTAACCAACTTTTGTTTACTTGAAATGTGTGAAGTTATTGTAATAAAAACAATTGCTAGAGGTATCCCAACAATTCTTCCATAATCCTATCTTCTTCTTTGTGACAGTGACAGAATACAAATTTTAGTTCTGGTTGGTAAGTTGAGGAACAATTCACAATTGCACATTTACTCTGTCAAGTCAATGAACTTTAGTTGATAAAAGAAGAAGTTATCAATGTCGTACTTCACTCCGAAGGTTATGTTTTGTTTACTATTTATCTTTAGTTTAAGATGAGCAGATTGAGGTGTTTTTGTTGCATTTGCGCCCAAGAATTCGATGATTTAAAAAGCTTGGAGTTTGCCGACTCAGATAACGTAAAGTTATCGGAAAAATTAAAAATTTGCGTACCTAACGAGGTAAGTTTTAATTTATCACTTGTAAATGGAGAAAGTTGGTTGATTTATTAGTTTTCCGACAGATCTGGAAAGAAAATTACTCCATTTGCGAAGTTTGTATTAAACAACTGAGGGCGGCCTATCAGTTTATCAGGACCTGTATAGAAAATGAACTGTTTCGAAGAGAAATACTAAGCGAAATAGATAAGCAAGGACCTGAAGAAAATGCATCTGAAGAACTGTTCATTTGCAACAACTGCGGCAAATGCTTTAAACAGAAGAAATCTTTAACTTTACATATAATAAGGATACACACTCCGAAACCAGTGAAGAGACATTCAAAATACTTGAAACAAGAGTGTGATATAAAGGATGAGGTTGCTTTAGAACAAGATATTGCAAAAGTTAAGGAGGAATTTGGGAATTACCAAGAAGACGCATTGCTGAAAAAGGAAGACCTACAGAAAGACGATTTTGATCTGTTTTTGAATGGCGATAGTGATACAGACGATCTCTGCGATAATAATTACTCAACAGGATCTGAAGACAATGAGCAAAGTTCTTCCGAACAAACAAAACAATTGAAACGCGGCCCCAAATTAAAACAAGCACTAAAGTGTGAGTTTTGTGATGCCGTGTTTCAAAAAAGACAACTCTGGGAGTCTCATGTTCGTTCTAAACATACATTCGAAAAGCCCTTTTCTTGTGATCAGTGCGAGTGCCGGTACATGAATGCTTACAGTTTGCTAATTCACAAGCGCAAACATAACAATGAGAAACCTTTTATTTGTGCGTCTTGTGGTAAAAGTTTCGTCTCTTCCGCAGATTTAAATCATCACAACAAAATTCACAACGTCAACCGCGCCTATCCTTGTCCCCAGTGCGACCGGAGTTTCAAAACTCACAGCAACTTACGAACTCATAGGCTGCAGATGCACTTGGACCCCAACGATTGGAAATTCCAGTGCACATTGTGCGAAAAGAAGTTTCCCATCAAAGGGAACCTTGTGAAACACATCAAACGACATACTGGTATTAAGAATTTCCCGTGTCACATATGCGACAAGAAGTTTATTAACAAAGCTGAACTGAATTTACACCTTCACACCCACACAAATGAGCGTCTCTTCAAATGCCACTTGTGTAATAAGGAATATAAAAACCGCGAAGGCCTGAGGCGACACATGAAGGTGGTCCACGATTTGGGCAACTGGAAAGCTTCTGTGCCGGAGAAGAAATACCTCTGCCCCATGTGCCCAAAGATATTCGCGTTTAGCAATAAACTGCAGAGGCATATGTTCACTCATACAGGAGAGAAGCCTTACAAGTGTGATTACTGTACGAAACGATTCATAGACAATTACGCCAGAAAGGTTCACTTGAAAAAAGACCATAACCTCGAAGTTTACAGCTGAATTTCAAACGCAAACTCGTTTTTTTAAAACACATTTAATTTATAAATAAAATCAGCTTTTTACATCATCCCGAGGTCTGTCCTTTATCAACTGAGGCTTGCGTGACTTCCACATCCTTCAGCATTTCCTTTAACTTAACCTTTAATTTTTCGATGCGTTCTAGCTCGTAGTCGCTTGGAATTACCTGAAAAACGCCCCGGATTTGTTACCACAATCTTGTCGGCAAATTCGGCGAAAACGTACTGATTTTGCGTCGATCTCCCCAACGCCGAGCCCCGGTTTCGGCTGAAACTGTCGCGTTTCATTTTCCTGCTCGCTTCTTACCGTTTCGCTCCATGTTTCAAGCCATTTCTCACCTTTACCTTTGGTATCGCTCGAAGCCTTCTAAAAATTAACGCGTCAGCGCACGACGCACAGCGAAGCATTCGAGTTACCTTTTCTTCTTCTTTCTGATCCTGCTGGCGTTGTGCATACAAAACGTTCGATAAACTGTTCAGCGCCTCCCGCTTATTGTTATTATCCCCCTGATTGGCCAAGGGTTGCGTGTTAATCTGCGGCCCCAGCTCCGTAAGCACTTGGAAATCGGCCCTGTCGCCTAATCTGAAGCCCCAACCTATTCGTGAGTCGGTACCTGCCGGGTAGGAATTCGTACTACGATTTTTGATCACAGACCACATAAAGTTTGAAACTCACGTCGGGCTTACCTTTTTTAAGGGTGGGGATATTTGAGTATATTACCGATAAGATGGACGGCAATTCGTCGGGGATAATGAAAGCCGCCAAACCTGAAAATGCCGTTGAGATATTAGATAAATTATTGCATTCTTTGGTCTAGTTGCAGTTATTTTATATGAAGCATAATGTTGTATTAATAAAATTGATTATTATTATTGTTGTTATTAGGGCCGTAGAATACATAGATTATATGAAACACTGAACACGGATAGTGAAAAAATTTGACATTCGTGTGTCGCGACGTTACGTCATTATCTGCCCTGCGCTTACCTGCGATTTGGAACGCGGCGAGACACGGAAGAGTCGACCGAAAAACTTTCATTTTCACCTTCGCGAAGGAACAACGTAAACTATTTTAACAAGTTTCGCAGTAATACGACAAATAAACCCGCGTTCGCTTCCGATCGATCAAGGCACGGTCTACTAGCGAGTATTTACTTTTCAATGACTTTTACTTTCGCATAAGGAGTTATCGACGCGATTCGCGGCGGTTTATCCATTTTCTATGTTAATTCGAGTGGGCCTTGACACGGCGGCGGTAAAGGCGGGGTCATATTATGTCCACTTTCGAACGGGGTCAAATTTACCTACGCGGACGAGCTATTGCTTTCCCCTTCGCACACCAAAAATGTTTCGTTGGATAATATCCGATATTTAATGACTGCCGCGTGCCGTAGGTTTACAAAACCGAATAATAATTAATTATCGGCAAATACGAGGGCGCATATGGCGGCCTTTTGCGGTGAATCGGTCGCCGATAAAAATGCAATCAGCTGGGGTTAATATCGCCGTTATATCTGTGCCGGGATACCGCAAACAGGCTACGTTAAACAATTTTTATTGCCGGACTTGACGCAAAACGGGTAGATGGAACTTAAACATGCGGTGATGCTAACAAATAGACTTACAAAAATTTAATCGAGTTGTTTGTAAAAAACAGTACTTTCCGATTAACTCCTGAACTGCAAAACTAGAGTAAGATTCGGACATTGTAATGAAATAAAAAAACGCATTTTCTTCTTCTTCTTTACTTCTCTCGGTCCACACTGCCGGAATCGTTCGGCCGGCCTAAATAATAGCTCAAATACTTATAATATCGTTTTATTTCTTCAGCTTTTTTACATTTTACATACAGAGTCATTAAAATTTCCGGCAGGTATATGTACAAAGTGCGATATCGGGCGTCGCGGTTTGCGCGACGTAAGAAAACGAAGCAGTTTAGGTACACGCACATTAACCTCGTCAGGTCTGTCTATACCGGCCGTCACGACGCCGTATCGTCGAAAACGCGTTTAAACCGCCCGGCGGCGGCTTTTTTCGACGTAGAATCAAGTAACGTTTATCTCCTCGTCGCTGTCATTCGAACTGTCGTAGTCTATGCCGTCGTAGCTCATCTGGTACGCGTGTGCAGCATGTTGTAAGTTGACAGCGACCTCTTGCGGCGCCGCTTGACGTTCCGAAGGCGAACTCGCCGGCGAAATGTCCTGGGAAATAAGTTACACGGGTGATACAGGTTGAACCACATTTTAGAAAAGTGTCAAGCTTTATATCAATTTATATTTGAAATAGGTAGTAGCGTAGCATTTTTTAAAAAACTTGACGCGGTTGCCAGTGTTTACGCTAATGTCCAGCAACTGTTATAATTATTTCTACCGTGTAGGTTTAAAATCTGATAATGGTGTGGTGTCCTCAAATTTTACATCCTTTGTGCCAGGGAGATGCTTTCGTCGATTTTGAACTATATTGGTTTTTATCTGCATGAAAGGCTATGGAAAATTATCTTATCAACCGTGGGGATATAGTGGTGTTTGTTGATAGAATGCCAAGTTTTCTTCAAGTATCCTCCGGAGTCCTACAAGGTTCTATTTTGGGACCTCTGTTATTTCCTATTTATGTATCACAATTCTCAAATGTCTTCTTATCGTGTTTGTATCACTTTTATGCAGATGATACTCAGATGTATTACTCATATTAGACAATAATGTATTAAATTTAGAAAGTAAATCAATACACTTTAAAGATCAAATAAAAAAAATAGGGTTGATTTGGAGTTGGGATGCTGACATGAATAAAAAATAAACCTATCAACAAATATTCTGTAGACCCTCAGATCGTTACTTTGCGATTCATTAATCATACTTCAAATGACATATTATGATGATGGTACCTGATTAATGGTCCACGATAAGTACTGAATACAAAAACTACAATGATTTATGGCATTGCCAAATTTCCCAAATGTTAGTCACATTCTGGTTCAAAACAAGTGAATAAATACATGCATTACAGTCCGCAACTATGTTTTTTAGTACAACTGTACTGAAGATAGAATTAGCATAGATAATATTAATAGTAGGTTATAGCACGAGAGACAGAAAGGAGGGTAAATATCGGAAGAGTTAAAATAATTCGCAAAGTAATTATAAAACAGGTATACATACTTATAAAAGTTGTAGGTTTTCGCAAGATCTTTCACAAAAACTAATAAACAAATTAAATTCCGTCCCATATATTTATCTTTTACGTCGAGTGTAAAAACTTTTAGGTACTTTTAACAAAAATTAAAATATTCGGAAAACCTATTATATTGAACTTTACATTACGTTGACTCAGTCTGTATAAATTTTTCTTATCAAAACAAGAATTCTCTTATTTGAGCTGCTGATGTTCAACTTAACATAAATTACCTGCCTATTATATTTTTTATTTGTCAGCAAATTGTGTGAATGCTTTGAAATGCAAGTTTGAGATGGTATGTTTTATCTATTTCTTTGTATATTACCTCATATCGGATAAAACGTTTAGTGTAAGAACAATCACCATTGCTCCAATGTCTAAATGTCTTATCAAATGTGTATTTACTCAATTCAATAAAGAACTTTATTATTATTATTATTGTTTTGGTAGAGGCCATGTTCGGTTTGAAAGACTTTTTTTGTTATTACACTTCAACAATGAATGGAAAACCGTTCGTGATTGTTTAAAATCGAGTTACCTGGACGTCGGTGAGGTCGAGCTTCGGTCGGTCGCCGTCAGCGTCGCTCAGATCGGGATGCGGGTTGTTTTTGTTGGGCAAGGTCTGCTCCCTCGAGCCTCCTGCAGCGAGCAGCTCGCGTTCCTTCGAATTCCTCCACTTCATTCGTCTATTTTGAAACCAAATTTTCACCTGCAAGGTAACGAACAGTTTATACGCGGTCTGATTCCTATCATTTAAGAAGAAAAATAAGAAGAAACATTCGCGGACCGACTTAAAGCGACAATAACAATCAAGTGGATCTGTCGGAAAATTATAGTTCTTCTACAACTCTTATCAAGTCTAGAGAATGTTGTTGTTACTGCAATATATTTATTGTATTTATTTATTTAATAACTATATTAGCACCCGCGTCATTTGTCGTAAAAAAAGACCTACAAACAAAAACAATACACAATAAAACAAAATAAAAAATTGTCTTCCCTCACAGCACATAGACACTCCCTCGGCATCATTCTACCAGTTAATCTGAAAAAACTCCCCCAAAGAGTATATTGAATATTGCAAAACATCCATGTGTCGCATTTAACATAAATACTCCTCTATTTTTAAGGACAATTTTGCTTAGCTTTCGTATTTTTAGTTTTCTCATTATTTTGGTCATTCCCTACACAAAATTATTATAAGTTAATTTCCCAGTGTGCCATGGAAAGTAATAATTTTATTTAATAATCGTCGAATTAAAATGCCGGTGACTTTAAACTAACGAAAACAAAATAATCCGATTGTTTGGTGATTTGCTCGTAGTAGCACTTCCGAGATCCCTTGATATTATACTCATGATTTTTTTTTTAGTTTATAAAACAAACCTCAGAAGTTGAGATGAACTTTGTGCCAGAATAGGACAAGCATTCTGAGAAATTAGCATATCAGAACTTAGACGAGTATCCAGGCAGAGTCTTTTAAAAAGAGTTGAAAAATGTATTAGCATAGTCGAAAGAGATGAGATTGAGAAATTGTCGTTTGTACAATGAAAATAATTGTTTTAATTATTTTCTTAAATTTAATCAAAAACTATTGTTTTCTTAAAATAAAATCATTATTCCATGGTATTAGTGTTATTTATTTTACTGCAGAATTTAAATTACATAATTAAATTGACCAAAATAATTTATCAAATAAATTTTTTTTATTAATTTTGTGTATTGAAATAATGAAAAAACTAAATATGCGAGTTTCATAATGGAATTTGGTATATGGAGTTAGATTAATATAGAATATTCTGTATCTTATCAAATAAAAAAAATAACTTTTAATAATTTATATTATTTATATATATTTATATAAATAATATTGTCCAAAATAATGAAAAAACTACAAATGCGAATTTTGTCATGAAATTTGGTATGTGGGGTTAGAATAATATAGAATTTGGAATTTAGACCGTTAGTTTTTGGGTACATTTTCGCAAAACAACACGAATACATTCACTGACATGACCGTCAGAATTGACAAACGTTAAAATTCAAAGCGTGGGAAATATCTCCGAAAACATCCGATTGCTTCCAAATCCGTGCGGTAAAATCCCGGAAATGTCCGAAGTGGCTCGGATTCATGGGAAACGAAACTGACGTGGTAAAGTGACGCTTCCCGCACGATAAATTGATGAGTAATTAGGTATCTTACAGACGGGAGTAGAAAAAAGAGTATTTATTAATTTTGTTAGTAACTGATTTAATATAACTTTCCCAAGATAAGTTAGAATCTATGTCTATGCCCACGAATTTTACTACTGTACTCTGCCGAATAGAACCCCTTTTCGAGGGTTTCAAAATACTCCAGTCCGATTATCTATAAACGAAAAGAAGCGACTCAATTTCAAAGCAAGTTTTTTTTACTGCTATTGGCTACGACTACCGGGGTTATTCGGTCAAAACGCTAGGTAATTCTCATCACTTCCGTTCACAATCAGATGCGAAACTCAACTTAAAATAGGGCGTTTCATAAATTTTATTCGTCGCGCTTTTTTGAGCCACCATGTATATCTTTGAGGCTTTCTTAAAGGACAGAATTATATCATATTTTGATAGCAATAAAGTTTTTGTAGAGAGTCAGTTTGCATACCGTTCGAGGCAAATGAATATTGAAAGCAATTGTCGTAATGTTGGAAAAGGTTTTTTTACAATACTACACCTATAACAAGCAGAGTGTAGTCGAGGCTTGAGGTCGATTTCGTCGTCTTTTTATACTAAATGTATACAGATGCTGAAAATATTCAAAAGGTGTCCCAAATAAAACAGTGAGCTTTGCAGTAAAAAATACACCCACTTACCAGTTGAAACGTAAAATAGATATATTTAGAAATACAAAACAAATTGTTGGTAAAATAATTACAATTACAATTGCAGTGGACGCTAAATGAAACTCAGAGAATAAAAATTTTAATTTTTATTGAATCTGGAGACAAAACGAAAACTTAAAAGTCCATAATGTAATATCTGGAGATCTGACAGGCCATTCTATTGATCCCCATTCCGCGAATCTACTGTTTTATTATATTAAATAAAACATTTAATCTTGTGTTGTCATTAGTTTCTATAAATTTTCTTTCTTTTTTCTCTGGATGTTTTCCGTTACACAAACTACAAACTTCTTCATGCGTTCTCGTTTTGTCTCCACATCCACTAAAAATAAAATATTTTAAGCGTAATATGTAACGAAATATCAGCAAGACATTTTGTTTTTTTATTTACTTAGGCTGAATCGGTAAAAAAATCGACCATGTTTAACACTCGCAACACCGCCTCATGGTCTATAAACACTCTAATCATCTGTTAAGAAACTGTTGATTAACGCTTATTGGTAGTTTACTTAATTGATATATCCACCGTGACATTCTAATAAAGAGCTTAAAAGCCAACGGTTACTTTTGTCGAGCTTGTAACAAGGTTATACGGCCTTGTTTTTTTAGTGCTATCTGTTTGCTCTTGTTTGTTTGCGAAAAAGTTAAGAAATAAATTTTATAAAAAGTAACCTTTTTCCATACAAGCAAATTATCAAAAACATATTGGCCCAAAACAGAACAGTCATTTGCCTTAAGTCAATGTTGCTCTTTTACTGGTAGGCGAAAATTTAAAATACAAAAATTGAAAGTTATAGCTTGGTCCTGAGTTAGGAAGCGAATGAAATCCAAATTTTTGTCAGAAATTTTCTGTTAGGTAAAGCATGTTCTTTTTTTCATTTTAGTCTAAAAATGAGTCAACAAAAAGGAAGCAAACTTCTTCCAAGTAATCTGGCCTTTATCATTGTGGATTGCATGCAAGATATCTAAGTCATAATTACTTCATTTTAAAAAATCACAATTTTGTTTTTCCTTCTTTTTAAAGCCACCAACACAACTCAACATCCCTTTTCAAGCTAATAATCGAACTTAGATAGTGGTTTATAAGTTGGTGAATAAGAACATATCTGCTTAGCTACTTAAAAACTGATTATTTACATTGGTCGATACGGGCATAAATATCAATGGTCATTTTTTATCACAATCGCAACCTTTTACTTGCCTGTAAGTTGAAGTCACAATTAAATAAAAGAAGAAGAATTACTAGGCGAGTCCTCTGTCCGTCCCGTTTGCCTCCGTCTTTATTAAGCGATAAAGCCCCCCTCCACCGCATTAAACAATCAACTCGCTCCCAATCGCTCTAAACTACTATTAAATTAGATTTTAATCGCGGGGTGCTCGATATAAACGAGTATTTAAGGGCGCGGGGCGCAGGGGGCGGCTCGACGCCTTCTCTGTCTCGCGTCGCGGAGGGTGGAAACCCAAGAACACGTAAGAAAGCGGGTCGACCAATAAGAACGTCGCGCCCCACCACGCAAAGGACGAACAAATGCCGGTCGCGGAAAGGCTGCCAAGCAACCCCCTTCGTGCCGAACTCACACGACGGGAGGCCGACGGAAAAAAAAGGGATGGGGGGAGAGCAAAAAAGCGACGACGCGACGCGACGCTGGGTGATAATTTCCGTGTGCGGATTTTCGTTTTTTATTAACTTGGTGTAAATTGGGGAGGGAATTTTCAGGGTATAAAATAGGTGGACTATAGGGTGGCTTCAAAAATTACCGGGTGTAAAATTACTAAAAGACGTTGCTCAGTGATTCAAAATTAAGTTTTAGGATGATATAAATGTCATCAGTGGTTTATTCTATTTTTTCCAATGTAAAAAACTGTTTCCTAGGTATTTTCTTATGATAAGTCCCTACAAATGTGTTAGCCCTATTCCCTGGCGCTGTGGCCCTCGACGTTTTGGGAAAACGGAATTAGGAATCATTTACAAAATTTGACACTTTCCTAAATGTAGCACCCTGTATATACCAGCGATGCATTGTTGAACGAAACACAGGAAACTATATGTAAATTTTTAGGTGCCTAAAAATTGGCGGAATGATGAACTCATGTGCCGAGTTTGCATAAATTTTAATATCCAATAATTTTTATATCCAATCTTCAGTTATTGAAATAAATATCAGGGGAAAATTACGAAATTTTTATAGTTTTGGTTAGTTTGGCAATAATTCGAACACAGTAAAATGCATTTTATTTAATTGACAACACCGTGTCTTTATCAAAAATCAAATGTGACACGGTGTTGTCGAAGCAATTGTCATGTCAAAATAAATAATTTCGTGAAAATCTGAACTTTTAGTAAAAGCCACTTCAGTTCAATAAATATCCGTTATTTAATTGAAGAAAAAGTAACCAAAATTAAGTGGTATTATGCAGCAAACAGTCGTAAAGCAGTGTGTGAAAGAAATGCTTTCGGTTTATCGCCCTGCTAAAACTATACATTCGATTTCAACAGTTAAAAGTATTATTACCCAATTCGAGTCCAAAGGCATAAATAATTGCAAATGTTAACCTGAAAATTTCGATAACGGAGCAGAAGAAACGCACAATAGAGATTTGAATATTTTGCTGCATGTGGAGGAAAACAAAATATTATAAGGATGCTTGGACAAGCTGTAAATAGACATCAAACCACAGTGTTGCGCACATTGAAAAAACACAAATATTTTTCCTATAAGTATGAAAAGCAGAGCTCCAATATGGCGATAAAGAAAGATTAGCATTTTGTTTTGAGATCCTGGAAAAAGTAAATAATGAGAGGGATTTTTTGAAAAACATTTGTTTTACT